CAAATAGGGTATATTTTTTGGGCCATAAACGAATCGTTTATTTTCCGCCAACATTGTACAAGCTCTGCATAATTTAAGCAAATGATAAAACCTTAAAAAGGCACTGGAAAAGAGCAATGGGACCCTATTCCCATGTTGATAGAACTTTACCTTGCTGTCAAGCGTTCTCCTCCATTGTTTCCACCTCGAAAGGCCTTCCCCAAAGGACCAGCCAATACAGAGCCACAATACGAGCAAACTTCGACTAATACCTGCATAATTGTTGTGCTAATTTTGTCAGCACGCTCAGTTAATGTTTCTATTGACACCAGCAGGATGCCGAGGAGGCGGGGGGCGTGGCCGGGACAGGCGATGTCCTTCCCTATAGTTGCACTGCTTTGACATTATTTACGCTTACTTATGGGTTTGGCTGGCACTCTCACCTGCCATTTCCCCCCTTTGGACTCTGAAAAAACAGTGATTAAACTAATTTTATGCAGCAGCGCAAGCAGGACGAGGGCGAAAACAAGGATACCGGCGAGGACGCGAGGAAATGCGGGAAAATGGCGAGGGGCGAGGCAATAAAAAACCATTTAAAACATTCAAAGTGTCGCATGAGAACGGGCGAAGTGAATGTCGACAAGCGTTAACGGGCTGGCTTCGATATGGAAACATGGTCGCTGACTCTATTTTTCCATTTATTTCCATCTCCATAGACAAAACAAAAGTAGTTATCAATAACAGTAAAAGAAATTGCAATCAAGTTTTAGATTTAAACTTATTTTAATTGATTTTAGGTGTATATTTTTGTAGACACCGTTGTTATTGTGTTAGGAATGATATTTTATCATACTTTATTTGTATTAACAAAGATATTAATCTCAATGCAATACACTGCCCCAATTATGAAAGAAGAAACTACCACAAGTATGAAAGTTAATGGTTTAATATCAAAAAAATATGATATTAATAGATTAAATTTTTTATAAATTGAAATATAATATACAAATTATATTAAAAAGATTTTCTCGCAGTGCATTACCAAATATAGGTGGTGAGCGCGAAAAGTAAAACGAGCCCAACAACCAAAGAAACAAAGTTTAGCAATAAAAATCCAAAAATGAGAGCGTGAGTTTTGGGGTGAAGCCAGGCTGTTAATAAAGCCATTTCTGCATGGGCTGTCTAACCTGTCAGCTACCACCTACAATCTACCACCCACCTCTTACCACCCACTCCCTCCCACTAAAAACCACCCACTACCAAAAGGCGATGGGTTCATTAGCAGTGGCTTACATTACACGAGCTCGGCCCAACGTGGTTGTTGTCGCTATTTTCCTAGTTTCCTTGGCGCTGTTAATTACGATCCCAAGTTGAGACGGGGAAAAGAAAGGGGAAAATGGGTAAGGAACAAAAGGAAAAAGTGGCTGCAGCACAATTGGAAAATTTATAAAAATTACACGTAGATTGACAGGCAATTTGTCCTTGCCTAATACGAGGTGGTTATCCACTGCCAGCGGCAGTTGGCTTATTGACTGATTCCCCGAACTCCCGGGGCTTAGATATGTGGCTTACGAGCAAGGTCTATTAGGTTTCATTAGTGTTCTAATTACCCAAAAGCGAAATTAGGCGAAAGCCAATTATAGTTAATGCATTTAGCCATACGATTCATCGAAAGTTGTTGGACATTTATGGGCTGTCAAGCATTGTGTTACAGTTTTATTCCTCGATTTCCATTTGCTTGCTGCGCAATTCCAATTAATAAAGCAGATATATTATGTGGTATCCCTTAAAGGCATAAAAAAGGCATTCACATTCGTAGTCAGAGCCAAGGAATAACAACCCATCGACATTTTTGCGGAATGGAAAGAAAGTAGCCAACCATTAGCATTAACTCACACCACACCCACTATCCCCGTCTCGATTGAGCAATAAAAAACTACCGGAAAAGCATTCCCCTAGATTTACCTAGACAAACATACGTGTATGTGCATTCGTTGCTGGCAATAAATAATGAAAATATCCGAGTGCCTCAGAAACAGAAGAAAAGTTTCCGGCTAACACAGAAACAAAAAATGCCAAGGGAAAATGTTGGGAAACGAATCCGTATTTCCTAGCACATAAACCTTATTTCAGTTTATTTATTTTGGAATTAAATTTCATGGTTTCAATTTTTTAAAAGGCAGTTATTAAATATTTTCCTACTATTTTAAATACCTGAAAATCCAAAGCATGTGGCTTAAACGTAATTCCTACTAGCTCAAAGCTTTTCCTGGAATAAAAGAAACGATTTGTATATTCATGAGTGTCGTGCTCTGAAGCTTTGCTTTAGAACATTTCAAATCTAATCCCCACATTCCTGATGTATATAAATTCCGAAAGGCAAAACATTAAATATTGAGCAACGCTCCGTACATTTGATTTATGAAAACATATTACTCCCGTTGCTATCCTGCAATGGGAAAGGAAACTGCCGGAGCCAACACACGGATATTTGTGGAAGCTCCTTCCACGGTCTGGGAATAAGCATATGAAAAACTAGCTTCCGTTACGTTTATGATAATATTTTATTAAAGCGCAGCATGCCACTATAACTACGGGTTAGCAGGCAAATGGAAGGCAAATGGAAGTTGCACGCACCCAAGGAGTCGTAGAATCGCAGAAGAAACTTGCAAGTTGGATGTTGAAGACGATGACGATGACGTCGACACACCCCGCCAAACGTCCGTAATAAATTTATTATTGTGCTGCGGCAGAAGTTCGAGGACGGTGGTAGTTCAATTTCGATGCCATAGATAGCGCAACTTTGGCCCGACTCCTGCGGTCTTGACGCTGCGATAGGCGGCAACAAAGTTTTGCCTTTGGAACTTGTTGCATTGACAACCTGCAGCAGAAGTTGCCCCTTAGATTGCAACTGTGAGGTATCTCTTAGATAATGAATAAAGTCATGATTTTTAAAAAATAATTGGTATTAAATATCTACCCTATTCTTTAAAAAAGAGAGGTTTCTTTGAGTAACAAAAATCGATTTTAAAATTTAAAAGTTCAAGTTTACAAAAATGACAAAAAATCGACAAAAAAAATACAAACCAAGATGAGTATACAGTTTTTTAGAGAATCAAAACACAATCATTTAGAGGTATGCCACTTTAAAATATGATGTTTGTAAGAAAAGTTATGGGCTTAGAAGTGCAGGTTATGGGCCACTTTTCTGCAAATCCATTTTTCAAAAATTTGGAAAGGGGTAACATCATAAAAATTACGAAAAATCTACCCAACAATTCAAACTAAAATAGAGATTCAGATTTGTAGAGGGTCAAATCACAATCATTTTGAGGTATGCCACTTTGAAATCGGATGTCTGTGCGAAAAGTTATGGGCTCATGGTGCAGGTTTTTGGTCACTTTTCGGTAAAGACAATTTTCGATAATTTGGAAAGAGATTAGCTCATAAAAATAACGAAAAATCGACACAAAAAAACAAACCAAGATAATGATACAAATTTTTTGAGAATTAAACCACAATCATTTAGAGGTATGCTAATTTGAAATTGGATGTCTGTAAGAAAAGTTATGGGCTTAGAAGTGCAGAAGCCTTGTAGAATACTCTGCAAGGGTATAAAAACGCCATCATGAATTTTATTAATGTTTCTGTAGTATCTAGTGTTACAGTCTTAAGGAATTGTCTTTTGAAGACAAATGTTACCGTTCTTGAAATAAGTTATGCAAATAGTCAACTTCTTTGTCTGTCTTTTTTTTCGGAGTGCGTGGATGCTTCTGCGGCAAATTGGATGCAGTCCTCGCAGCCGAGCTGCAGTTGGCAAGCGTGTTGACAAGCGCCACGCAACGCGATAGCACCGGGGGTCGGGCATCCAGATATGGTGGGGGATATGCCAGGATATACCTTTCCTCCGCCGCAATATAAATAGCACTGATTTGCGCTAACAAATACGGAGCGGTGGCTGTCGCTATATGCTATCTGCTATCTGCGACTTGCTGGCAACCCGAAAGTTAAGCCAACCAACCATACAACCCATTTGTTTATTATGAAAATACGGGCTGCTCGGTCTCGTGAGTGGAGCTCCTCCGTATCCGTATCGCTGTCTCCGGCCCTCTGAGCCTGTGTGTGTGTGTATCTGTGTGTGTGTGTGTGTGTGTATGGGGCAGAGTGGATTGCCGCCTGTGTGTGAGTGCTGCCCACAAAAACCTTAAACTGATGACACACTTCACATGGAGGTTTCTGCCTCTGGCTCTGGTTCTGGCTCTTTTTTCGTTGCCGTGTGCCCGTTCACAGAGGCCACAGAGAAAAAAAACCCGATTCAGCTCAAGATCTTGGCATCGAAAATGTATAACAAAGGCCTCGAAGTTCTTCTTTGGTATCATTTTAAAATAAAATTACTTTTATCTGGTCCTTAAAATCCCATCTTCGAAATCCGTTTAAACAAATATTATTATTAAGGCAAGATCGTCCCTGAATCTCTGCAGAATTTGTGTATACGAAAAATCCAATGTAACTTTTATCCTTATTTATATTATTATTTATATTATTTTTAATTTGTAATTTGAACAAATTGAAATTTTAGTTGAAAACAAGGATATGTAGGCATATTAAATGAGTAAAGTATGTAAGATGAAAGGACATTATGAATAGACTTATTAACTACACACACCCTTAAAAGGCAATACAATGGAACTTAAAACTACAATTTTATTTATAAATTAAGAACGATTTTTTCTCAGTGTGGTCCGCAACCGGCTTTCGGTGCTGCATTTCCGCTTGAATGGCGTCTGTGCTCGGAGCAACTAACAGCCCATTGACAAGGGGCCGTTGGTGGGTGGTTGGTGGGTGGCTTGGGGGGTTGTTGGGATGTTTGGTGGGTGTATGTGGATGTTGATGTGGATGGGGATGGAGGGGGCAAGTGTGTCACCACACACGACCACGTAACTGAAAGGCATACTTACCGTTTTAAAACTGTGCGCTCTGTGCATGGCACACTACTATATTGACTTTGAAGCATAAAAAGCTTTCCCAGATACTCCAATACACTGGAGGCGAACTCTTTATTACCGCCCAAGCCGGAGTCATGTAACTGTATCTGCTAGTGTGGGTATTGTACAATGGACGCGTTGGAAGCCATGCCTTGGGAATAAAGCACGAGATGACTTCCTGATCGATCTGGCTTAAGTCCGGGCCTCCTTGACGGCTCCTGCCGAAAGCGGTCCCTGGGGTTTGGCAAACTTAGAGAGGGTTCCATCCCTGGCCTCCTCTTTGCACTCCACATGGGCCTCGAAAAGGGCACAGAAATCCCTGATGTAGTTTTCCAAACTGGCAATTCGCGATTGCAGTTGCACAAAAGTTTGTTCGTCGAAGATCTTCAGCTTGATTCTATCGCCGGTATCCATGGTTATGGAGGCCAGATCATGGAGATTCCTGCGATCGTCGAGAATCTTGGTGCACAGGCGACTGAAGTGCGTGACAAAGTCCTCCATGTCCTCTATTAGTTCGTCCACCAAAAGGTACTTCTTGGTTTTATTCTGAATAGTTGTTGGCTTTGCAGCTAAATAGGCAAAATCGAACTTTTCGCCAATGGCTTTTAGATCATCAGGCATGCCCTTTAAAGCCACCTGGATGCAGACTAGAAGACCCTTTAATGAGAGAAAAAACAGTCTTAAAAATAAATATGAAATGGTCCTATAAATATTAAGTTACATTGTTTAATAATGATCACATCACAATATTTTTTTATCATTTAAATATTAAATATTATTTGTTTCTATTGTTATAAATTACAACTCACGTTCATATCGGTGATAGCATGGGAATCGGAGTACAGTTCATAATCTGGCCACCAGTCCTCTTCTTCATCCTGGAAATCATCTCTGATGGCAGGCACGATGCGAAAACTCAAGATTTCTTCAAGTTTGTCCAATCGCGGCTTCATTACTTCAACAATTAGATTTTGTAGCTCGGCGATTTCTTTACTACCTTTGGTATTTTTGGGGGCTTCCTTAAGCAGTTTATTTAGGATTTTGGCGGACTGCATGTTGAAAATAAATAATAATAAGCTGTAAGTTAGTCTATTGAAGTTGTAAGGGGATAGCTCGAGCAGAGAAGAGTTTTCTATGAAGGGTTTTCTATTGCACCATTTTAACTTTAGTTTTGAAGTAAAACTCGGAATATGTATGACCCCCAGAATTTTCCCATCCTTCCTGTTTTCTGGGCTTAGGTTTTGGACATCCGCTTGGAAATATATTTCGAGTGGTGAATATTTTGCTGTAGTTGCAGCTGCCTCAGGAGAACGGTTTACGCTGCGTATACGCAACGTTGTCACAGTCTGTTTGCTTTGGGTTTATAAAACTGTCTAAATCAACACACAAACATAGACATACACGAAGGCACATAAACACTGACAAATCTTAAACATACACATAACATGTTTGTTTATGCGCAATGGTATTTTTTCGTTCTGTGTTTTTGTGAGCTTTTCTCGTTTTAAACTAATTTTAGCCGGCACTTTTGACCAACAATAAAATGCAATTGTGACCCTTGAGCTTTCGTATTCTGACTTGGGGCCACAAAAGCATAAATATAGAGGTGTAAATATCGTAATAAATTCATTGACCAGAAAAGTGCCACAAAATCCTAAATAAATAAGAAGAAAAAAATATTTTAATACATTTATTTAGTTAAAAGTTTCGGCATAGTTTAAGTTTTGTTTGGTTTGGGTCTGTGCAAAGAAGCAAATTACTTTATCTTTTGAAGCAAATTAATTAGTAATTACTTTTTGGAAATATGTCTAAATTTATGTTCTCTTTCTTTTTATTATATTTAGATTGAGCAATTTAGTTTAAAATCCTTTCTGCACTTGCTCAAAACCCAGAAGCTTCTCTACTCTGATTTTCCGCTGCAGTTGGTACATATGTATCCACTTGTATATATTTGTATATATGCCTCGTACTCCCCAGGATAAACAGACTGGCAGATAGGCACTGTGACAGTCGCAGAGGCAGAAGGACAAAGTGACTGAAGGAGACCGGGGGAGACAGACGCTTTTGCAAAAACGTTGGCGCAAAAACTTTGCGAGATTTGTGTCAGCTCGTTTGAGAATTAGTCGTAGGTTTTTAGCAAAATTAAAAAAATCTGTCACTATGCGGTTGGCATTTGCCGTCTCATTGTTTTTCGGTCCCCTGACGGAGATCCCGATCCCCTTGCTCCGCCACTCCCCAATTTTTCAGTCCCATTTCCATTTCCCCCGCTCCTCTTCAGATTTAGCTTGTGTTTCCATTTCTGTTTCTCTGCCACCATTTAGATAGTCACTTCTGCTTGCTGCACACGGACACTGCAAGCTGTATTCATTTAAAATACAAAAATATGTACTAAAAAATTAACAAAAATCCCACCAACTTGTATTGATTTTATTCCGTTCTAAATTAATTGAAAGTTAAAATTAATATTAGATTTATCATAAATATGAATTTTATTAAATGGTTATTAAAATTCTATACTCTTTTGCTTTGTGAGTTTAAAAAAATAATAACTAATAATAACAAAACTAATAACAGTTTTATAATTTAAGTATTATCTCCTTAGTTAACTTGAAAAGTTTTTTAATTGCATTAAAACTATTATTACTTGGTGGTTGAGGCGAGTCATAAAAACAAATGATTTTAAGAGGTCTAATAACCTAAATTGCAATACTTCATTTTACTCACATTTCCTGGAAATAAAAAAACTCTTTATTCCTGAGAGATGAATAGATTTTTTTTATGCGTTTGTTGAAAATTACTTTTAATAACAGGTATTTATAAAACACCAATTCGCTTTGTATAGATTACTGAACCCATTATTTGATATAGTTTAGTATGCTGAAAACTTTTTGAATTGCGACAAAGCCATTATTATTTGGTGCTTAAGAGCACTCAAAAACTGATATTTTTTGGAGCTGCGACCATAAAATTGCGTATGTGTCTGAGGATCCGTATCCGAGTTTTGTATTATGTACTCTCTGCGCTTTGATGCGACTATGTCTTAAATAATTTATGTGCCGCAAAATGTGCAAAGTAATTTATTCTGATTATATGCAAAACAAGAACCGGAGAAAAAAATGAAAATGGGCATCAAATAAAATGTGAAACGGCCGCCGAGTGTCAAAAAAAGAGCTCTGGAGTCAAGTGCAGAGTAAAGAGAATTAAGTCTTGCACCTGAACCCAGTCTTATTTTTGGTTTGCCAAGCAATCCGCCTTTTGAAGGAGGGCCGTAAAAATTTATGTTGCTATAATTTAGCCTTAAAATCGCACCAAACCTCAACCCAGCTCATCCCAAAAGTGAAAAGTGGGCGGCACGCATTTAAACGGAAATAAAATAAAATTACAAAAAGTGCGCAACTTTTTGACGTTGCGATTGTTATCCTCGTTGCTCCGGTGTGTTTTCTTTTTTTGTTTTTTTTTCTTTTTACTAAGGGGCCGAAACGGCTGTCAGAAAGTGATTTAGAAACTATGCTATGACCCGGGTAATGGTACCTTGGCCAGGTCGAGAGCCGAGTTCTCCGAGTTGGCATTTGTTTGTTGTCGGCTGTCGACTGTCGACTGTCGGCCGCCTGTCGTTTGGCGGCTATAAAGTTGAATTTAAATTTTAGCATTTTCGGTATTCCCATTTCCCATTTTCAATTCTTCAATTCCCATTTCCATTCGCGTGGCTATTGAAATACCTTGAAACGAATTGAAGCCCAATTGTTTGCACATTTTTGCGGTTAGCTAATTGAAGCCAAATTCCAGTTTGCTAAATTATATTTTCGGTAGTCAAGTGGCAAATGCGCATAACTCATATAGTTTTGGGCCCGCAAAAAGCCGGTGGCAAATATGCTGAAAATGTCAAAACGTCGCTTACATATTTAATGCGCTCTAACAGGCTTAATCAACATTACAAAGTAATTAGAGTTAATTCTTTTGTACTCGAGAGCGCACAGACACCTGGCAGTTTGGTGGAAGTGGCTCAGGTAGTCGCCGCAGTCAAAGTGCTTACGCATGTAGCCCCGTGACACTGAACCTGGTGACGATGAAAATGGAAATGAAAATTACGATGAAAACGACGATGGCGATGACGATGACGATGCCAGTGATGATGAGGACGAGGATGAGACCCGTATCTGTAAACTGTTGCGCGGCAATTTGCATGGTTAATTATCTATTAACTTGAGCATAACTTTTTTGGGTGGTGCGAGTGCAGGATTCTCAGGATTCTCAGGACTCGGCACTGCTCACAAATGCAGATACCCTCGCAAAAACACAAGCACACGCGAATTAGGAACCTCCAACTGTTCCGGCGCCAGGCGAAAATATATACATCCACTTCCGCTGTTGTTCTGGCTGCCATTCTCATTATATAAGAGGTAAAGGGAACTGCGAAAAATTAAAAAGCTAAAAGGAATCAAGCGAAATTGTTAATACCTTATACATAGGACATAGGACATGAACATTGGGCGGAATTTCTATTTTACATTTTATCCATTTTTATTGCCATATTTGAATTATAAACAAATAAATAATAACATCAACGAATCCAATTGTTATTGAAATGCATAACTATTTTTTTGATTCAGATCAAAATCATATAAATTATATAGTTTAAAAGCTATAAAGGCTAACCACACAGTTAAATAATCCAACTTTAAATTCGTAATTGTTTTCTTAAAAACTTTACAAACCAAATCCACACAAATTCTAAATATATTTATCATAAAACCATACATTGTGTAGGAATTTCCATTTCGTTTTTATTTAAAGTTAATATAAAACTTAAGGGCTTCTTTTCGTAGTAGAGACAATAAATACAAGGTAAATCATACAGTCCATATACCTCTAACTACATTTCAGAAGTAAAATTTATAAGTACATGAGCAGCGTCAGCGGAAACAAGTTTATGGTAATCTTGATGCCTAAAGCTTTCCTTTGTTTTGATGCCGCTGCATGCCGTAAATTTCACTTATTAAATATTTGTGCTTAATTAAGAATTTAACTCTTACAACCAGAGTAATGTTGTGAGGTAAGTGGCATCAGGACCAAACTTTCAGTGGCATTGGGAGCACAGTTCAAAGTAGGCTTTAAGTTTTATTGTTTATAATTCAGGCCAGGGTACGTGTGTATAATACCCCACATGTAAAGCTACCACGAGTTATGACCTTCGCTAAAACTTTGACTCACTTTTAACAAGTTGAAGAAAACTATTAAATTAATTTAAAAATCGGATTATAAATCTTTCCAAATATAAATGTGATTTCTAAAAGCATGACCTTTTTTCCTAAGTAGTGGTCAGTAAAATATAGAAATTTAATATAAATAAAAAGACCCAAAGCATGAAATAGTATTGATTTGAAATACACAAGTGCCAACATTTGTCAAACAATGTGTAGTAAATCTCTCAATGCCAGCGACTTAAATAAATAAATCTTGTTTAGTAAATAAACACAAATAACATTTTATAGTTTCTATAAACATCGATTGAAAAAGTTCCTTTCTGATTGAGACAATTCAAGAGTTATTGCCTGGCAATGGATTTCGTTCGACTTGCAAACACATTCGAATCGAATCCATTTTCGGTTAATTTTTAAGAGCCCCCAATCGATCTCTATTATTGACACATTTTTGACAAATTGCCAGATAGCCGCAGCGGAGAATGGGCAGGATCTGTGGGTAGGACTTTTCGTGAGTCCTTTTTCTTGTCCTGTAACTCGCAACTCGCAAGTGAAACGTGTCTGGCATTTTTGAGGAGCACGGACAAAGGGCCGGTTTACCTTTCTGGTTTTCCGGCGAATGGCGAATGGAAAAGGGTCAACGATTTGCGTATTATTTGCTTTATTTTCAATACGCAGGACGAACCCTCGTCAGGAGGAAAGGACTCATTGCTAGGCAATGAATGCCTCGTTGCCACTGCGCAAATATTATCCTTCTGCTCGCTCTCCTTGCCGGCATGTTGTGTCCTTGCTCCGCTTCTTTCGCATTTCAGTTCATTTCTGGCCTTAATTATGTGCGGCACAGAACAAACAACAAATGCACAAGCAGAAGCAGAAGCACACATGTGCACATGCACTTTCAGCCCAGTTAATTGCTCATGGCACTCGGAGCACTCTGCGCCACTTGACCGAGCTGCCGCTGCTGAGACGTCCTGCGTCTGCCGTCCTGACATCCCCCTCCTCATCCTCATCCTCATCGCCATCCCCATCCCTCTCCTCATCCTGCTGACACTATTTTAACTAAATGCTCACCTTAAAATCATATTCCAGCAGGATCCAGCAGCACCGAAAATGTTTCTTTTGCCTGCGGCCAGCTTTTCGTTATTTAAAACGGCCTTTGTCTGCGCTTGACCCTCTGTCACAAAAGCTGTTGTCGTCCGCCTCTCAAATCCCTGTCTGCACTGAGAAAAAAGCTTACCTAAATTAAATTTGGATATTCAAATGAAAAAAATCATTTAGATTAAATGCTGTATATATATATGTATAAACAGTAGAATAGTTTTAATAGCTCTTTTGTAACAAACAACAAGATTTTAAAATGCAAAAATTAGTGTAAACGTACTTACTAATAAATGTAAGATCTAGCCGAAAATGTTGATTTCTTGGTTTTTGAATTTCATGATTTAGTAAGACAGTCAGAGTTCATTTTTGGAACTCACTTTGGCTTAAAAAACTTATGTGACAAAGCATATTGAAACAACTTCATATTGATATATCAAATGTTTTTTATTCCGATTGCTATTGAATTTTTTTTTCCGTATTCTTATTTACTTACGCCTTTTCGTTGGACAGTTGCCCTTGCAACTGCTCGTTGTCGTGCACAATATTGCAGAGGCGACCGGCTTTGATGTCCCCTTATCAGTTCATCGTCCTGAATTTCTGTCGTACTTAAGGAGCGGTCGAAAAGGTTCTCGGTGATGTCGAGGCTAAGCCCTTTTTGCGATGCCCAGATAGTTTTTCTTTTCCAGATCCGCATTGAAATAAGGGATAATTTGGAAAGCTTATACTTGGCTAAGCAAATGTACATGTAATAATATACCGACAGTAATTATTATTCTGACGAAAAATGGGATAGCCTTAAAAAGGGACTTTAGTTTCCTCCTTAGAAATGCGAGATACAGAAAGGACATTTTCTTTTCCATTATTCCGCAAGTGCACAATGGTTACGGTTGTCAATTTACTTAGCCAAAAATGCAGGTAATAATGAGAGCAAAGCCAGCGGCAGTGAAAACATTCAAAATGGCGACGTCGACTCACGCCCAAAAATGCCACTTCCTGCGGCTTAATTTCCGTTTCAAGTGAATTTCCTTGCCGCTAATTTTGTTGCACACACATATTACTAAGGAGCACGTGCTCCAATGGAAACTGGGCCACACGGACGCGACCACGGACGGAATGGCGGACAGGAGGACGGACAGGAGTACGGACGCGGACACGGACACGGACACGGACACGGACCCGGACACAAACACGGACATTGCTTTCATGCTTCGGCTCTCCGACCAGTGATTTTCGCCGGCTTGCCATTTGTTTAGCGCATAGTTGTCTTGAACCAAACCAAACCAGACCAAAACAAAGCAAAGCCAGAAACAAAGCGAAAACTTTAATATCCGCACTCAATGGCACAACAGCAACAAGCTACATGGCGAACAATGCTCACTTCAATGTCTATTGATGGGCCACGTGTGTGTTACAGCCCACTATCATCCCCTCGGTTCCCATCTATGTATATCCTAGCCGAATCCCTCGCTTTGTCATTGACCAAAGTTTGGCGACGTTTATGCGCAGGAAATGAAGGTATTACAGGAGTTCGAGAATTTGCAGGGGATTGTTTAAATCATATGATATTGTTTGGCTAAGAATTACTTTTTTCTTATAGAAATTAACTAATTAAATAATATGATTATAACCAAAATTATTTAATTACAAATAAAATTTTAAGATGTTTTTATTTTTAATAGAATTATAAAAAAAATTTTATTATCAGACGTACGAATTCAATTATTTTGCAACTTAATAAAAATCTTTGTTCAATTTACAATTGCTTTATATATTTCTAAGACCATATTTAATATTTCAATTCTTACAATTAAGGCATACAAATAAGAAGAAATTTAATTGGGAAACCTTTTAACAAACCTCGCTTAGGGAACTAGAATTCACTCAGCATTAGTACTATTTTTGTAGTATATTTCCGCTATTACGATTCGGGCAAACTATATATTTAGTTTCTTTCGCCATAAACCCGGGGTCCAAAAGCCAAAGTGAGTCTGCCACAGACTCTGCGGATATTAAGCCATTGTAAGGCTTGCCAGCACGCTTTTAACCCGAAACTCAACGAGTTAGCGTCTCAGACAAAACTTTTTTAACTGAGCTGGTAGCATAAAAGCTCTTCGGCCATTACTATCATTCACAGGACTCAGTGGCAGGAGCAGGAGCAGTAGCACCAGCAGCAACAACTACAATAACCGGCTGCTATTACGATGGCTTAGTCTTGGGATCCCCGGCTTGGTCCTGAGTCCCTGAGTCCTGCATTCCGGAGTCCTGGCCCTGAGTGTTTGCTGCCATTTTTATTTGCAGGGGCTGAGTTTATGGGCAAATGTGCATTGAGCATTTGTGTCTCTATTCCTGGGGAAGTGGGTCTGCGGCCAGAAACAGAAGCTGGCACAGGACTCAGGACCTGGGCGCATTGTTTGTGGCTCATTGTCTTCATAGGCCCATTCCCACAGTCCGTAGTTAGGATCTGCGGTTAGCAGTTCGACTGCCAGCTTGCAAGTGGGCATTTATCCAGGCCCCTTCTGGGCTAATGTGAAATATGCATGCTTAATTGTAATTCTAAATCCGAAACCACGGCACATTAGTTGTCCGTACAGCAGTCACTGTTGCAAATTAACATCAATAATAAATTTCGATTTGCGGCAATTACGGATGGGTCTAGTCCTGGATATACTTTATCTATGCATATATGGTATATACAAATTGATTGATTTATTATGTATAGACCGGTGGGCATTCATTGTGCAGGCTGCGTTTCGAAAATTATCCCCCTCGCATTACATTGTACGTATTTATATTCCCTGCTAACACAAATGTTAATATTTAACGCAGGGCTATTTAGAAAAAATCAATGTGTATGGCAATCCCGATGCCATAAACGTCACATGCATGCCGCCCCCAAAGGCGACGGTCGCTCCCACCACGGCGGTAAGTCATCATCGGCGAGGAAAATAAACCAACAGACAGCGCGGCAATGGTTGGCATTTAAATTAATTAATGAATTGCCGGGCAAATCATCTTACTGATAAATTACATTAAAATTGCATTATGTCCGCCTAAGTGAGAGTACATTTGCATGGGATTTGCGTTTATTTATTGAGACGGCTAATGCTGCAAATAACATGTAATCAGATACACTTATGTGATGATGTATTTTTAATCCATGCACACTAAAGTTATATTTGTGAATTAAATAAGCTCATCGGGATAATCTTGTTGGTTTTTCAGGCGGCAAATTTGAATATTCATTTTGCACTACAAATATGTAAATAACTCTATCATATAAAATTTATTTAACTAACAAAGTGGTTTACATTTAAGAATATATACTAATGGGCTAGGTCAAATACAAATTATATTCATTTTATTAATGTAATGGCTGGAACTCAATAAAAATTATTCATGTTTGATCACTATTTATTTTATCCTTCTTTTTTATAATTTTCTCTCCTATTTTGTATCTCCTATAATTTTGGCAATTTATTTTTTATTTTTGCTTGTGTTTTAAAGGATCTGGATCCCATTTATGTTGAAGGATCTGGAGATCTGGTATGTTAATTTCCAAATTGTTTTTTTACTTAAACCTTTTTTCCTCTATCATTTATTCACTTATCTTTCCTTCCTTCTATATTTTTTGGCCCCAAGAGTGGTTTAAACTTCGAGGATGTAACGGATGTGAATTTTGGAAGTGAGGAATTTTGGAATACAGACTTTGAGGTTAGTCTGCAGTGGGAATTAAGAGTGAAATTAAATAAAGCACTTGTCACTGCATTAAGCAAGGACAGCTCAGTTGGAGCTGCCATTGTTTTGCTTTTGCTATTGACAGTGCTGTTGAAAAGCCATAAAATGGGGAATTTGGTCAGGCAGAGAGGTCAGCCGTGTGGCTGCACTTTGCATAATTGAATATTTATATTTAGTAATAAGTAAATACCACGAAGTGAAAATCAATGCATCCGACAACAGTTTGCACTCTGGTGTTAATGAGTTTTCGATCTCCCCCTCCGCAGGCGACGGACATCTTCGACGCCAGTGGAATGCAGCCCCCGGGACAGACGCAGTACACGCACGAAAGGCGTAAGTGCATCCCGCCGGAATCCAATCCACTCCAGCTAATGTGTCCTCTGCTAATGCAATGCTAATTTTTTTTTCCGTACTCTTATCTATTTTTTTACAGCGTACCGCGGCACCAAGGGCGAGAAGGGAGAGCGGGGGCCCAAGGGCGACAGCATTCGCGGTCCGCCGGGACCGCCAGGTCCGCCCGGGCCCAAAGGTGAGACGGCCGCCTATCCGCCCTTTGTGGAGACTACGAGTGCGGGGGCTGTGAGTATTGCGAATTGAGAGTTAAGCATCTGCACAGAGAAAAAATGGCACCGATATAGGTCAACAAAGGTCTCCTTGATTAATGATTTACATTTTTGGTAGGCTAATAATCTTTAAATGGGCTATCCAACACAATAGTTTAGATTCCTAAAAGTATTTAATAAACACCAATACCAAATATTTGATGATATCTCTTTACGTACTAACAAAAATAAATAGAAAATGCCACAGAAATATATAAAGATTTTTATTCACTTCCAAGATGTTCCGAAAGTCCATAGAATAATTCATTTTAAAATTTGTTCAAGTTTTCAAACAACTTATATTTTAATGTTACAAATATGTGAAAAGAGGTTTGGTGATAAAGAACATATATTTGCTATTTTTTTTTGAGTATTGAAAGAAAGGCCCAGTAACCTTAGTATTATAATATATTTCCCTGTTACAAAGAGTGTAGTAATTGAATTTAAATAGGGTAGGTGAAAAAAAGCGGATAAGAACGTAAAACTGAAGTACAATTTTTTTTGAGATAAGTTATTTTAAAAGCGATACTTATAAAGTTATTCAATTAAGTATTAAATTTATGAAATATTCTTAATACAAAAAGGCAATCCTTTACATATGTTTTTAATTGTTTTGGTATAAAAAAGAAATTGTTGACATTATGAAATTGAAAAGCTACAATTTTTTCTCTGTGTCGTTGTGGCGGGCAACGCGAAATTGCCTGCCTGCCATAACGATGACGATGACGATGTGCCGTGGTAATGTGATCCGAGCCAAAGCGAGGTGCTAAGTTTGTATTCCATTTCTACCCAGAAATACACTGGCGAGTGTACATGTAATGCGTCTGATATCCTAGAGGCCATCAAGGACAATGAGTCGTTGCGGGAAACGTTGCGAGGAGTGCCCGGAACGCCGGGCAAGGATGGAAAGCCAGGTACCCCTGGTCACACCGTAAGTACAGCTCCATTTCACTTAGAGTGAATTTCTCTATCTATTTTCACACAATAGCAGTGGGTTTATTAACTATGGCAAGCAATTTAAGAAGAAATTAAAGACAGCAGTTCAGAAGCTCGTTTTATTGTTTTCATATTCATGAGAATCATTAGTTGGTATCGAAATACTTTTTCCTAATAGCAATAAAAGCAAATACACATTTTAGGACCTTGAGATAATGCTACCTTTTTTGTCCAACTAAGTATTTGAGTAACCTACCTAATTTTCAAAAAATATAGTAATTGACTGATAAGACTACGGCAAAATTTCAATTACATTTTCTTTTTTTAAACCATATTATCTATCGTCTATAGACTATCGGTCTTATACGAACTTTATAATCAATCTAAAAGGTACTTAAATCATCGGTAGCTGGAACTAAACTTTCTTTTATGTTTTTCTTCCGTTCGTTGGGATTATCAGTGTGTACGGCAATTTCGAGTTACAACGGGTTGGCAAAAAGGCAATATTTGACATGAATCTAACACATTTTCAATTTCATTACACACATCGTCTAATCTCCAAGAGTGAGTGGCTGAAGGAGGATGGACTTGTGAAATGGTGAAGATAGAGGAAGATTTCAGAAGGAGCTGAATGTTTTCCTATGTCAAACATCATAATTTGCACTGTGTGTGTGTGTGTGTGTGTGCGTATGCCTGTGCATGTAGCCGGAAATGGAAAAAACGTTAACGTACACTCACACACACACACGCAATCACACTCACAATCGCGCAGAAGATGAGGAAAACGGGAAAATGGGACCGAATCGTAACGAAAATTTCTTTATGCGCCAGCTCACGCTTAAACACTTATCCACTCTCTTCGGGTGCTACTCGTTATATTATCTCATCAAACGGGTAACGTCTTTGGCAACCATAAGAGTTCACTGTGGATACACAAAGGATGTCTCCATGTCGCCATGTGTTGAACTACACTTGACTATGTACTTGCCATTTACTTTACTCCATGCCGTGTGTGTACCCAGTGCGGGTCAAAGGCAAAGTCCACAATGTTACAACCTCACTTAAGTGCTTATCACGCAACAGGGCCAAAAAAAGTGAAAAAAAAAATGAAAAATAACTTTGAGCAGCTAACCGAAAATAGAGAAAGCTTTGAATGCATGTCCATTACTCTGGGAATTATTCAAAATGCGAAAGCAGGCCAAAGACAGACAGTACTACAGTTCTAAAGCCGTCCGTCTCCATTCAATCTCGCATTTTCTGGGGCACTCCAGCAACCTGTGGAACGCAGCCTCTTCAATGCGATGCAATACATCAAAAGGAAAGCGGTATGCCGGGCATTCTGTGGTCCATTCGCCAGCAGCTAACTGCTAGGGAAATATGCCAGCTTACCCTTAAAACCCGGCCCCAAAATCCCTCCACCTCCTTCGAAACAAAGCTCCCAAAAGGCTTTTTGCTGGCACGGTGAAATATGGCAAGCTGGCGCGCATACCGGAAATTCCTGCGACAACTTCGTTGCCCCATTGCTAATCCCTTAACTAATAGCAATTAATTTAAAGGACGACGATAAGCAACAGCTACACAGCAAAATAAGAACAAGGCACGCAAATGGCTCACAGCGTGACCATTTTGCATAAGATTAAGAACATCGGGAGACACATTTTTTGTGTACCCATCCATGTCGGCGATTGGAATGTGAAGAGCAACCGACCGACCGACCGCCAAAAACCCAAACCCAAGCCCAAAACCTTATCCCGATCCCAGGGGCTTCGAAAACCGAAGCACATACCAAATAGACGGGCCCAGCCGCGTAGATTAATGAGCTCGGACTAAAACGCAACGATTATGTAAATCGACCGCAGCCAGGTTAGGAAGCCCGAGAACCCCCAAAACTCGAACTCCAAGTCGAACGCCTTAGACCATGTAGAACTTGCCATGTAGACGTAGATTTGTAGCCGTAAGGACGCAGGACACGTTATATGCACGCCCACTAATGTGATTTATTTCTCTGTCGCTGCCGGCGACGTTTCTCCCCCCATCCCGTCTCTCCCCGTCCCGTTTCCGTTTACATTTATCCAGGGAGCCACCGGAGTGCCAGGAGCGAGGGGCGCCCGGGGGTCCGAAGGTGCCCAGGGGCTGAAGGGCGAGCCAGGCGTCGACGGGCTGCCCGGAGTCGTGGGTCCGCCGGGACCACCGGGTCCGCCTGGTTTGCCCGAGAATTACGATGTAAGTATTCCCAAAAAAGGAGAACCTATTTGAATTTATTTACAAGTTTAAATGCTAAATTACGTCTTCACGGGTCTTGCACGATGAATTCATTACCAAATGTTAAAGTGCATTGTGTGTTTCAAGTGGAGTTTGAGTTCACTTTTGGTTTTGTAGTCCGAAATAATTGAAAAACATGCAAGGCTTTATAACGAAAATATGATCGTCAGGGGGTTAATAGTAAAATCAAAAATAAATCAATTCAAGTCTCCTAAGCTTATAATTATTCAAAGAAAACTATGATAAATAAATTCTTTAAAAAAGTTGAACAATATTTAATAATAATTGTGTAAGATTTCTCCACTGAAACGCTCAATACTTTCTTTGGATCGTCCAAAGTTCTATGTCTTTAATTATGCCTTAATATAATATGGTAATAAATTATACATAATACATTTGCTCCTTGTAATTTTTACATAATTTCTACATTTCATTAAATCTTGTTTATTTAAGATTTAAATTGTAAAAATAAAACTGTGTCAATAACTTTTCCGAATGTTATGAGTTGATACTAAGCAAATGTATTTATAGCGAGCAAGAGTATTTATTCTTCGGCTAATCGAAGATATTATTTGAAATTTTTCTTACTTCGTTTTCCCTATGCTTTCGATCAAAATTGCACCTTTACATTGGACAAACAGAGGCGTGATGGCTAATGCAGTTGCTCGATGTCTGGACCCGTATCCTTCCTCGTCGTCCTTCTGCTACTCCTTGTCCGTCTGTTTTCAATCACGCACATCCTTATGAATTGCGATTGGCCAAGGTAAACGTCCGACGTGTTTTACAAGCCGCACAATTTGCCTAAACTAATTTCCTTCCTGACTCGCGCAGTAACTGTGAAAAATTACCACCCTGCTGGTGGGTCATGGCGTCACGCCAGCTTCAAAATCAGATTCAGATTCCGGCTCAGAGTCTGCCAAAAGCAGGCACGTTCACTGGCCACCATTGTCGTTGTCGCGAATGCCACAAATGGCCTATCTCAGCTAATAATCTTAAGACCGCAAAGGTTCCGCGGCAACATCTCCTGGCAAAAGGGCCGAAACATAAGCGTCTTGAGCACGCGAGCCGACCGACCTAACCCAAATTGAAGTGGAGTCACCGTGTCGACGTCGAAGTCAAGTGGAGTGTACACAAGGAAAAATTTAACCTATTAGAAACTAGTAATTTACCTTTTTATTTAGCAGCCTTGTGTAGAGTTTATTAACAAGAATATCTTGTCTTGGAAATAGTTATATTCGGTTTATTCTAGTATCCTAGAAATTCAACCAAAGAAAATTATTAAAACAACGATTAAGTGTTTGAAAAACATTAATTAGAAACCTGTTATATGAATAATATTAATTAAAAAACGTTGGGTATAACAAAATTCTGAACATTTGTCTCTAAAAGTTTTTTGATTAGACAGGCTTTTTATATTGGTTTTTAAGATTTAATTAAAGTTAAAGGAAAGATTGATTGGAATAGGATCTCTCAAATATGATTTTAAATTTAATCCAACTTCCTTTGGGTTATTTGGGAAAGAACGACAATATCCATATTTAGTGATTTCAAATTTACTTTAACACTTTCTACTAAAAAAAATACAAAATTCTTCGAGGTCTGAATTAATGTTTAATAATTAGGAAATAGCTATCTTCTTGAATTTTTTAAAGGAAAGGAATGTAAATATTTTCGGTGCAGTTGTAGTCTTGGGTTGAGGCCCTTGGGCTGGCATGGGCTCAGTTTTCAGCTTTCAGGACTCATGATTCGGGTGCCGCATGCCGCATGCCACATGGCAATGTCGATGGCGGTGTTCCAGCTGGTGGCAATTACCGTTATCAGCGCACGGCGCTCAGTTCACGCGGTTAAATGCGGTAACACGCACACAGATACAAATACAGATACAGATAGGGAGCAGGAGCAGGAGCAGCCAGTCACCCACACAAAGGCGAACACATCAGTCCTGACGTCCTGGAGTCCTGCGTCCTGGCATCCTGGTATCCGCACCGTTGCCACTTTGAACCCTTTCATGCAAGAGTGAAACTTTTCTTTTTGCCGCCTCGGCTTTATCACCGCATTTCAACGCCGTATGTTGCCCGCTTTCCATCTAACTGTGGATTTGGGTGGGGGGTTGAGTGGGTGGTTGGGCCGTAATCATTATCGCACTGTTACGTTTATGAAAGTGTCAAGCTACTTGTGGTCGACGAGGCGGCAGTAAAAATCAGACATCCACTCGCCTGGCGGCCCACCGCCCATTGTTTAATGTCGGAGGGTTTATCATCATTATCATCAGCGCCCCAGAGCCAGGGCCTTTTAAAAGCTTTCTGTGGGTGTCATACCCTCGGTGTTATCCTAAGGATTGGGCGGTGCCAGGACACACAACTAGGAAGCTACTGGCTGTTAAACAAATGGATTTGAGTTTGGGCAAACAATAATAAAATAGGAAACAGAAAAAAAAGGGGAAGACCCGCTAGGAGATTGTCAATGAAAAACACTTAACAAATATTTAAACATAAAATAATTTATTAAAAAATGTTACAGGGTATAGAATTAGCTTAAAGTTGGAAATAAACACGACTTTCTAAGGCCACATTTAGAGTCCTTAAGAGGGAAATGCTTTTATGTTTATTAGAACGACTTTTGATTGTCGACACGACTTCCACTTTTTCAGATGTTCCATTCACAAATCCAATTATTCACGCCCATGAGTGTCCCCCCGGTAAAAGTTGCAATTTTGAAACATTTTCTGATTTGAAACCAGTGAAATCATCTACTAATACGCTTTAATTTCACGCCCATTGCTCTATATTATTGTAAAACGTATATCGTATCCACAAAAAAAATTATGTATTCTTGTAACAATCAACACATAAATAACAGATAAATTGGAATCCGACCAGGACCTTCAAGGTATAAACATTTTAACAATTTCATCTTATGTTCCTACCACCATCACTACCACTTATATAAAACAAAACCAAAAGGTTTGCCATGGGGCTAAGCGATGGCCAGCCAGCCTTTAATGGACTAGAACCACTTGGCATCATTAGCCACGCCCCGAAATCTGAGTGTGCCGGTACGCCCCCTTAAAAGCAAAAAAAAAAAGATCATTAATCAAATTTCCGCCGTGTGTGTGTGTTGTTGGTGTCCCTTCGTCAAAAAAGGGCCGCCTGCTGCGGAAAAAAGATCAGAGAAATGGGGCCATGTATCGAAAATAAATTGTACAACAAGCAAATATTTAACAAATTACTATGCCTATACACATACCCGCACAGGAATCCCTAATGGTCAACTCGATGGGCACATTCCGGGGCACGACGCAGCCGGGGGCCAAAGGAGTGTCCGGCGAGAAAGGTGATGCCGGCCAGAAAGGAGAGCGCGGCGATCCGGTAAGTCAGAGGGCATGTCTAATAAATGGCCCGGCCTATCCTCACCTCTATTTCCCCACCACCCCCGAATTCCCCTGTCCCCTGTCCCTAGTCGTGTGTGCGTGGGTGTATGCATTACAAAGTGTTTCTCGAGCCCACACGATTGTTGTTTCAAACATTTAATAATTTCTGCCCTATTGACTACTCAATTGATTTTGAGGCTTCTTAAAAGGGCAATCGGGCCAAGCAGCTTGCCGTTCTCCTTCAAATGAGCAAACACAGGCTGCGACGAAAATTTGCTTTTGACCAAAGCAATAATCGTGTTTGGCAGGCCATTTTGGGGCCTACATTTATGATTTAGGAATGTGAGTTGGTTATCGATTTCAAAGAGAGGTAGCCAGAAATCAAAGGATTAGCAATATGGATAACATATGTTATAAAGTCGTGAGCTAAACATTTTCAATTCCTGGATAACCAAACTAAGATTGATATATGTTCTCGGTCTGATAATTAAGTAAATGTACATTACAAATTTTGATAATATTTGAACTTGAAAAATGAATAAGCATTAATAAGCATAGTTCCACCATTAAGTTAAATGTTTTATTGATTGATATAACAATAAAAAAACATTTTAAATTTAAACTTAAATCCTTTTTATAAATAACAATCAAATTATGATTTATTGAAAATATAGAGAATAATCAAAGTACGAATGGCTTACTGCCTGTCCATAAAGCTTAAAATTCTTGAGATTTTACTGCTCTCTAAAAATAAATATCCGGCAAATAAATTCCAAGCTATTAACCCCGTGAAAGGATAAACGCCCCAGCTCCTCAATTACTTCTTTGAGTTCAAGCTAAATTGTACCCAATTTGATAGATAGTAATAATTCTTTTGGGGCGCTCACAGCTCCAGCTGAGCTTCTCGTCCGACCGCTTTCATATTTATGGCATCGCAGTCATTTGTGCAGGAAATACACAATTTGGGACATAAATTTCTATCAGCAGTTGGCCCGGAATGCGTCACTTGAGACGATGCCGATGTCTCCTGATTTCTTGTCTGGTCGGGGGCCAATTTGTGTGCATTTATAGCTCATTTGATTTTCACTGGATATGTTGATGATCATAAGGTGGGGAAGGGGGTGTGTATATATGTCCATCCCCCCCCAACATAAACTATTTCGTTTCGTTTCTTTTCACTTCTCGTTTGGCATTACTTTCATAATAAGTTTTTGCCATTTGGGGAGCTCATCCTGCTTAGGCGACGCTTACTTCCCAGCCATTACCCTGTATGCCATTTAGCAGCTTAGTTGGGGTGGCTTTGCACCCTCGGACTCTTCAGGATGCGGATCCGTATTCGGATCGCCCCTACGTATTTCTTTTATGTGCAACCTCAAAACTTAAATCTGGGCAGCAGGGCTCGCATAATGTGCTTGTTGTTAGTCTGTTTGTTTGTCGGTTTTTGCCCGGCTTTAGCCTTCGGTTTTGTGGAAAGGTCTCCTCTCACGTGGACGGTTTCCGGTGTCGCAAATTACTCCTCGGAACAGCATCCAAATTGGGCCCATAAAGACACGGCCACGACCTTTGATATACATAAGTAATATTTATGCGGCTTGTGGCAAGGGAATCTGGCGTAACAAGGTCGCTTTTAAGTAGTTTCCCCCTGGTAACCACACCTGGAATTAATCGTGCGTGAAATAAAAAGAAATTATGCAAACAGCCGCCCATCCACGAAGCTCACACGTAAAAAAAAAAAAATCGATTGGGATTTTATGATAAATTTACGCCCAATTTGTCAGGGAGACGGCGGGCCCCCAATCTCCAGTTATTGCATTACAAAATTTCGGGGAAAACTAATATGGAAATTAGCATTTTAAACGTATGAATACACGCACAATTAGGTACGTTTCATTAAGCCTAAAAAACAGACGCACACAGGGATCTTGAGAGACAGTCGGCGGAGCAGTCGAGTGTGTGTGTTGCCTTATTAATTATTCATTAGTTGGTATTAAGTTGGCGATATGGAGCAGGGCCCAAGGAAAACAGGAGCCTGGATCAGCCATCCAGTCGACCTTCATACTCCCCGAACTTTACCCAACATCAAGCGTGCGAATTTATGGCGAACCATTTAAGGCGCTGATGATGTGGAAGACGACGCTGGGGATGAATTGAGTCGGGCCTCTGCGAGTTTTCGATGGAAAGGAAGGAAGGAAATTTCGCACAAAGGCAAAGGACCCGGCGAAGGGAATATGGTTTTGTGTTTTCGGGCTTGTCACCAGGCATTGCATAAATTTCCTTTGCGTGTGTGCGGGATTTCGGAATTGATTTGATTTCAAAATGAGTTTGAATTGAATTTTTTCTGTCGTCGACAAAACGTTTGAAATTGAGTTTTACGGCCAAATTAGGCGAGAAAAGAGAGAGAGAGCTGCCATCCCGATGCCCAATCCCCAGATCCTTTTTGCCCCCCGGGGGCACATGTAGCCGTATATTTAAGACCGTAAATCATTTCACACACTTGCTTTCGTTTCTCCACCATATTCTCGTGCCCCAAAAACAGGGTCACAAAGGTGCGCACGGACCCAGCGGCGCAAAGGGTGAGCCCGGCGAACCGGGAACGCCCGGACTGCCGGGATTGCCGGGACAGGCCGGACAGCCCGGCGGACTCGAGGGCCTCTCCTCCAACGGGACCAAGGGCGACAAGGGCGAGAAGGGCATGCGGGGGCGGCGTGGAGGCACCGGAGCCACTGGACCAATCGGACCTCCCGGAAAACCCGGCGCCATGGGCGATATTGGACACTCGGTAAGTGAGAGTGGGGGGGTGAACTGGAAAAGGAGGGAAAACGGGAACCCTCGCAACTTTTGCATGCATATTCATGAGATTGACCAACTTTCACATGCTTTCACCCATTCTGGCCAGGAGCGTAGCCAAAATCATATCATGGGTTCAGGCTTTCCTTTTGCGGATGACTGAAAACATTGTTTCATTAACGGAATAATAATATGGCACAATTAATTTTTTCGTATATTTTTAAACACTTGTTATTTATTTTTTACCAATCAATAAATAAGGGGTTAATTTAAATTACATTTTCTAAAGTTACAAAATGGAAAGAAAACTTAATAAATTTAAAAATTGTATCTCTAATTGAAAGGCTTTGATAAATTTTGAAACTGAACTTTCCTAATCAATAATATAGTTGTAAAATCATGGCTGAAAAAAGTCTAATTTTGTTTCTAAATTAAAATTGAGCAATTAAAACAAAAAAATATATAAAATGATCTTTATGGATAAAATTAGAACATCTTTCTGATTATAATATATCTTATATATTACGGCTGAAATTATTTGCTCTTAATATAATGGTCACTTAGGCAATAAGCTGAGATCTTTAATGGCAGGAATATTTTAAGTAAAGGTCAGCCGTATTAAATTTGTAAATGAACATTTTCTCCCCCCTTGCTACACCCATGATTCAGGCTCCATTGTTGTCGCTGCCTTACAAAGTTTTCAGACAAACAGACATTTTTTGGCCGCATTCGCGATCTAGACAATCAGGGCACTGAAAGTGGTTGAGACACAGGATAAGAGGAGCTGAAATAAAAAGAAAAGGACGAGAGCTTCGGAATAAACTCAAACGAAAAGTATTTTAAGTGCATTTTCATCACGGTTATTCGGGACGCGGCAGTCAGCGCATCGCATCACATCGCATTGCACGATTCCAATTGCAGTTTACCCCGAATTTCCGGCATTGTTCCGCAATAACAACAGCTAAGCAAAGGCCAAAAAGGAGCAAAGTTTCCTTTTTGGAACGGAGTCAGTGAATCGGGAGGCAGCAGGCGCGTGTGCTGTGCAGTGTCCTTTGGCATTCCATGGCATTCTGTGCCAACTGGCATCGTTTACCGCCCGAAATCAGAATCAAGCAACGTATTTACATGAGCTGCCAGGACACGGAACTTTGGCTCAATTGCCGGAACGAGCGGAGAGACAGAAAGCGCTGCGACCGGAGAATTGTTGCATTTCGGAACGGCAAAAGTTTGCCCGTTTTGGCCATAGTTCAAGTTGGCAGTTTGGTCCGATTTCTTGCACTAGAAAACTGCTTTCGAGCCAACTTCGTGTGGCTGTTGTTGGTTCTTGCCGGCAATGATCTTATAATTTGCTCCCAACTTCCCCACTTACGAACAGGCGAATGTGATTTTTTGCTACGTGCTCCTACCGTTTAGGAAATCTAAAGGACATCATTTTAATAATTGAACGAATTTTAAACAGGGACAAAATTCTACCATATTGCATAAAGCTTTGTAATCATTATTGGGATTTTTCTATATAAATTGATTCCCTGATTTTCAAGAGCCTTAATCTAATTGATTCGCAGGGGCGCCCTGGCATGACAGGACCAAAGGGTGAGATGGGTCCCAAAGGACCTAAAGGCGAATCCGGCGGACGCGAAGGGGTAAGTGCCAAAAGTCGATGTCAAGTATACGCCCTGTCTGACGGCAGAATGGTGATGGATCACCGAGGGTATCGGGCTACTGACCTCACAAAACTTGTCCGCAGGTCAAGGGTGACAAAGGAGACCGAGGTCAGGATGGTCGCGATGGCCTGCCAGGACCTCCAGGACTTCCATCCACTGGCGGCGGTGATGGGGATAGCAGCGGAGTGCAGTACATTCCAATGCCAGGACCTCCAGGACCTCCGGGGCCACCAGGCCTGCCGGGTCTATCGATTTCGGGGCCCAAAGGAGATCCCGGAATGGATTCGCGAAGCCCCTTCTATGGCGATGCCTCCTATTACGGGCGACCAGGTGAGATAAACCAAAAAAATCCTTACAAAACTATTGTAAATATGTGAAATGTGAGCTTAGTTAGTGGGCTAGTGGTCAGTATGTGTACATAGTTAGCATTATCCTTGCCCAAGAGCCAATACCTAACCGATAATCCAACCGATATCAATCCATGTCATTTGCATCGCACTCGTCATCAAGGAGCGCGCTCATCCTTAGACGAACTCAAAGCACTGCGAGAACTGCAAGATCTGCGCGATCGGCCCGATGGCACAGCCGGTAATCGAACTACTAACTAACATACAATCTACAATCTACAATCTCAACTCCATCCACCATATTAGCCGTAGTGGCCTTTGTGAATGTTGCATGACTCCCCCCGTTGAACCAGCTAATTGCCTTCAGTTCCCAAACTTATACACACCTTTTCGCCGGCATGCCTTATTCACACCCATTCATGAACTAGACCCATTAATGGGGCAGCAAGTTCCTCATATTTGCACATCATCATTAACTCATTTGCCGTTGATAGAGTACAACGTGTAAACATTTTCTTTATGCGCGTATTTTCACACCGTCATGACTTTTCCTTCGCCAAAAAAAAAAGAAAACCCACGACTCATGGCCCCCACACAGATATTACATATTTCAGTTACCAGTAGCCTGAAATACTAGTGTTTGGCATATTTTTGGCGAGCATTTGACTCCCTTGGTCCATTAGTCAGCTTGGAGAATATAGGTGAATGTGCAGATGAAAAATTTAAGCACAATGTTTTCGGTACATAATTTCAGGCACAAATGTAGTTATCCATTTTTATTTTTCTCTTTATTTATATTTCTTGTATAAAATGCAGAAAGAACAAATAGCATTTGGAGGACTACAAATTTGATAACATGATAATTATTATTTGCCTACCCAGTTAAAAGTATTAATTTACATTTGTAAATGCATGAGCTCTGGCATATTTTTGATATTATCAAATATCAAATAAAATGAAAATAATGTTTGTAAAAATGAATTTATATATTTCCTTTACCACAAATACTCAAAATACAAAGAGATACTTTATAAATAAATATTTATTACCGCTTGTGATTTAGCACATGGAAAGCGAGCATTTAAGTGAATGCAGGGTATCGAGTTATGTGCCATAATGCATGAATTATCCTTTCAGAGACGCCACGCCAGACAGGACATTCCCACAAACATGAGGAGACCCTGGGGCTCCTGGAGGGCGAGGAGCCCACCTACTCGGCCTCCTCGTCGAACATGAACATGAAGATTGTGCCCGGCGCAGTCACCTTCCAGAACATCGATGAGATGACAAAAGTGGGTGTCGATTGGTTAAATTTGGCAACTGCCATGTATTTTTAAACTCTTTTCGTCTTTTTTTGCCGCAGAAATCGGCCCTCAGTCCGCCGGGTACGTTGGCCTACATCACCGAAGAGGAGGCGCTCTTGGTTCGCGTCAACAAGGGCTGGCAGTATATTGCGGTGAGTTTTTTGGGCCAAATCCCTTCGATTGTGGGGGCTTGGATTTGATTTCTGGCTCCTAAGCAAACACAGGGACTTTCGGGTAGCACTTTTAAAATGCCAAATATGACAGGCGCTGAGCCCGCTGGCAGGCGGTTATTATTTTATAGATCCCGCTCCGCCATTATGGCTATAAGCCCACGCCGGGGAAAAAAAAAACGAAAAATCCAAGAGACAAATGCATGCAAAAATAGTAGCCAACCCTGGCCAGAAGCCTGGGCTGTTTGTCTTCTGCTCGCCTTATTTATTTATTTATTTATTTTTCTTGCCTGCCATAAAGTAAGGTTTGTTTGGCATTGCCCTTGTATCGACTCGTTTTTTATTTGCACATTAAATGTTGCAGACGTACAGACTGATTGCCATTGGATTCCCACCCGTCACATGTGTGTATACTATATGTGTATCTGCGTTATTCAATTATATTGACTTGCGCTTGGCTTTTCACTTGTCCCGCTTAACGGATACAATGGTAGAAGGAATATCCAGAGACATGTGGCATGTGGCAGGCAATTTGGGATGGCCCGGCAAGTCACTCAAAGGTTCAAAACATTTATTGAAGAAATATAAAACATGCATCGGTTGATCTTGATGGGGATTAGTGAGCAGGCAGGACCCTCCTTGGAGTCATAAATTCCTTTTCGGCAGATTAAAAATAATATTAAACGGATATCGAAGGTTTTATTGTCGTCCCCTGGACACTCCCCGAAATTTTCCTTTGCCACATGCCAATTAATCTCGCCCCTCGTCCAAGGTGAACTTGGCCCAGTGGGAGCCTTTTATTACCCCGATTTTCTTCCTGCCAATTTGCTCGGGTCAGCATTTTTGTGCAGGCCTCTGAAGTTGGCGAAATTACACCCGAAATTGGTCGATTTCTCAATAGGTTGTTAAACATTAAAGTGGCCACAATTTCGCCTGCTTGTTGCGTTATTGAAATCATCAAAAAATTGGAAAATGAAAGGCAAGCGATAGGAAACTAGTGGCTCGATTGTGCCAAAGTGTACAATATTCTCAGAATTGGGGAGCTGCAAAAAAACTGCTCGAGATTCGATTTCCGCTTCCGTTGTTGCAGGGCACAAAAGCCAGCACAGCAGGGTTGTTGCCTGGTGGGCGTGGCGCCGGCTTCAGCCTCCTGGCTCCTGGCTCCAGACTCCTGACTCCTGGATCCCGGATCCTGGCAACTGGCAACTGGCATGTGCATAAGGCAGCCCGGAATGAAAACGAAATCTCTTGCCTTTGACGGCAGCATTTAAATACTTTTGACAACAAAAACCCGGCACAGGACCATGAACAGTCAGGGTGCGCCGAATAATATGGCAAAATCGGGCCCAAGCTAAGGACCCTTTGTTGCCAAAATCTGAGGAAGTTGGGGAGTCAGGAAGTTGACTACACAGCAATATGTATTTTATAATTTTACAAGCTTTTTCTCTAAGACCATTTTTGACAACAATATTTGTATATATATGGTTTTTGAAATATTCAATATTATAATTGCTTATATATATATTGTGTATATTTTTATAATTTTAAAAGCCTTCATTAAAACCATTTTTAAGAACACTATTTTTATTTTTATGGTTTTTGAAATATTTTATATTATAATTGTTTATATATGTTGTGTATTTTTTATTTATTTTAAATTTGGAAAAGGCAACATTTTTTTTTCCTGTGTAGTTGGCTTCCCATTTGCATTTCGCATTCGTCTGGGCGAAATACACAGCTGTCTGCCGAGATACCGAGATGGTAGCCGAGGCGCCAGCCTAATTAGATTTCAGTACACGAGTCGACTACTTAAAGTTCAAAATAGTAATTAAAACTTTTGTCAGACGACGTCGCGCATTATGGCTGTCGAAAATTTGACCCTAATACAGTGCCGGCGACGAGGTGGAGCCCGGGATTGAGACTCAAAATTGTGTTTGGTGTTTGGGATGCGGAGTGGTACTGGTACTGGTACTGGTACTGAAACTGGGCCTGGGACAGATTGCTACATATTTTCCTACACGTAATGCAAATATTTGAGCAAAAGTTTCAATACAACGCTGATTTCATCGCATAACGGCTGGAGTGCTCGGCTGTTTGCCTTGTGTTCCTGCTGAAATATTCACTACTTGAAAGGGTCTGCCGAGCATATTTGCGCAGAGCTCTTGTTTTATTAATTACAAATTCGTCAAACGCTTGTTTGTCTCCGCGCCTCTTAATTACGATTTCACATTTAATTCAACCTTTGTATTATTCTCCATTCACCATTCCCCAACGCAGCTGGGAACCCTGGTCCCGATAGCCACGCCCGCTCCGCCCACCACGGTGGCCCCATCGATGCGATTCGACCTGCAGTCGAAGAACCTGCTCAACAGTCCACCGCCCCTGATCAATACGCCCACGGTGAGTGATGGGAAATTGTCATTATTTTCCTTTTTCTCCGCATTTTGTTTTCCACATCTACTCGCATCCGTCGGCGGGATAATGACATTGACGCTGGCGAAAATTAAGAGCGCTTCGAATGGAAATCAGAAGTCCTAGTTGCGATTCTCTTTGTGTGTGTATTAATTGTACTCGACTTTGATGAGTTCAAAATGAATTATTTATAAATCAAAAAGCTCTGACGTTGATGTACCAGCCTGAATGTCATTTTCCCGCCGATAGTCTCTAACAGAAGCAACTACTACTCCAGTGGAGCCGTCAAATTACCGATTGCAAATGATTTTTATACCCTTGCAGAGGGTATTATAATTTCAGTCAAAAGTTTGCAACGCAGTGAAGGAGACATTTCCGACCCTATAAAGTATATATATTCTTGATCAGCTTTACCAGGAGAGTCGATCTAGCCATGTCCGTTTGTCCGTCTGTCCGTCTGTCCGTCCGTCTGTCCGTCCGTCTGTCCGTCCGTCCGTTTCTACGCAAACTAGTCCCTCAGTTTTAAAGCTATCTGCTTGAAACTTTCCCAAAAGTTGTCTTTCTATTGCAGGTAGTATATAAGTCGGAACGAGCCGGATCGGGCCACTATATCGTATAGCTGTCATATAACTGAACGATCGGAAATGCCATAACTTTGGTGTTTTTGAAGTTAGGAAGTTGTAATTTTCTATGGGTTTTATTTTTGGCCAATCAGTCTGAACTATCAAATTTCATAAGGATCGGGCGACTATATCCTATAGCCGCCATATAACTGATTGATCGGAAATGCCATAACTTTGTTGTTTGTAAAGTTAGAAAGTTGGGATTATCTATGGGTTTAATTTTTCGCCAATCAATCCGACCTACCAAATTTCATAAGGATCGGCCGACTATATCTTGTAGCTGCCATATAACTGAACGATTGGAAATGCCATAACTTTGGTGTTTTTAAAGTTGGGAAGTTAAGATTTTTTATGAGTATTAAGAATGCATCATATAAATAATTTTGGAGAATATAATTTACAGAATATTCTGCAAGGGTATATCAACTTCGGCTCCGCCCGAAGTTTGCTTTCCTTTCTTGTTTAATAAAGACATCAGTTATAGCAAACTTAACATCGTTTATAAAATTTATGGTCATAATAAATTTACCAATAGTTTCAGCACAAATGCAATAAGTGCTTGAATAATGACACAAAAGATTAAACAATTGTATTTCTTAATCTTTTTTAAAATATATAGAATATTAATTTTTGCATTCGATGCTTTGTCAGCTCTATAACTAAACACCACATATATTTTAAACATCCAAGAAGCAACAAAAATACACCACAAATATACACGCTACTTGTTCCTAATTTCATTATTAATACTCAGTGAAACGTACTGAAGCAAATTTTATCGTTATAACCTACTAAACTTATTTATAATTAATTGTCGTTAAATGCAGTTTACAACCGCGCCCGAATACGAAACGGTAATTAAATCCATAATATCGCATATCGTAGTGTCGACTAAAAAATAACAAAAACCAACGGGAGAATTTAAAATAGCCAACGATTCTTGCATACACTCGTTGAATAAATAATTTGATTTTGTTTGCTGGCCAATGAAAATATTTCTAATTAGCGAAAATTGCATTTGAAGTTCTGCTGTTCGCGGAACAATTGGTGTAGTTTGATTTTCTGCTTTTGTCTCTATCCATTGATGGTTTTGTGTTTTTATTAAACCGATGGAAACTCAATTTTTCTCCTATTCAATAAGTTATATGTTTAATTCCATTTTCTTGTGTGTTTCTGTGTGATTTGCTTTTTTAACTAGACGCTTCTTGATTGAATTTTGTCTTTTATTTGGGTAATCCATGAGGCTTAGTTCTCAACAATTCGAATCCCACACGAAAGTAAAGAATGTTGAGAGCTCCTTTTTTTTGTGTGTTCGGTGTTAGAATGCTCAGAATTTCCATTTGGATTTATTAAATTACAAATATTTTTGTCCCACATCTTATGGCTGCGACTTCAAACAAAATTAACGGAATCGAAAATAAAATCAAATTAAATTCGCATTTCCAGTGGTATCCGCGAATGGTGAGTGCCTCTCTCTTCCTGTTGCCCTTCAATTAAGCTAGTTCCGACCTTTGAACTCCTGCCCCACGTCTCTGTATTTTATGAGTGCTTCATTTTTTATTGCCCCGAAGGAGGTTTCAGCATTTTTTGTTATTGTTTCCTTAGAGCCCCGACAATTATTTGAAATATTTTACTATCCATTATACTCCCACCTATCATTTTCCTTACAGACCCCGCAGGCTTTTCCTGCTCCATCCCATCCAGCTGACGGCGACCTTTGTTAAACAAACAATTTCTGGCTATTAAATTCTGTATTAATTAGATCTTAAAATGCTTGACATAAATTCCGCATTAATTTCATTCCATATTTTCTTGAATCCGGAATAGCTACGCGTGGCCGCGCTGAACGAGCCCTCCACCGGCGATTTACAAGGGATCCGGGGGGCGGACTTCGCCTGCTATCGGCAAGGACGACGGGCAGGCCTCCTGGGCACCTTCAAGGCATTCCTCTCATCCAGGTAAGTACTGCTGGCGAGTGTGTCTTATCTTTCTTTAGATTTTTCACGCGTATTAGGCCTGTTTTCCTGTTTAGTTTTTTCGGCTCAGGCTATTAAGATTTCCCCCGCAAAATCCCGTGGTAGAGTATTTGCCGCTTCAATGCTCGGCGTTGCTCATACGCCACGTTGCCGGGCTGAGCCGACACTTTGGGAACTCATTAGTTGCCGCATAATCTTGATATTTGAAGCGAGGCGAAAGCGCGCTCGAAGTATGAAAACAAAAGCTTGTGAAAACAATTTCGTGCAATTTATTTACCCAGTGGCTTCGGCAAAACGAGAGTTGGAGTTTTCCCAGGGTTTTTCTTTTTTTTTTTTTTGGTTTGAGAGGGCAAAACATAAATAAATGAACGAACAAAGAGCTGGCACGCAGGGAGGCAGGCAGGCAGGCAGGCAGCACCTGCCCTTCAGACATCTTTTGATGGCAGTTTGTTTGTTCGCGTGTAATTGCCGCTCGTATGCTGGCAATAACTTGTACATAAACGAAATGCTTAACTCTCGTCTGCAGGGTACAGAATCTGGACACGATTGTCCGTCCGGCGGACCGGGATCTGCCCGTGGTAAATACGCGTGGCGATGTGCTCTTCAACTCCTGGAAGGGCATTTTCAACGGCCAAGGTGGATTCTTCTCGCAGGCGCCGCGGATCTACAGCTTCAGTGGCAAGAATGTGATGACGGATTCGTCGTGGTAAGATGGCCTATAAATATTTCTCAAATTTATAAACTAAATGGTCATAATTAATTGTATTCTCAGGCCCATGAAGATGGTGTGGCATGGCTCGCTGCCCAATGGAGAGCGTTCCATGGACACGTACTGCGACGCCTGGCACTCGGGTGACCATCTGAAGTCCGGCTATGCCAGCAATCTCGACGGGCACAAGCTGCTCGAGCAGAAGCGCCAGTCCTGCGACTCCAAGCTGATCATCCTGTGCGTGGAGGCCCTGTCGCAGGATCGCAAGCGGAAGAAGCGGGACCTCGGCGGCAGCAGGTACTTACACGTGTCCTATTGATTTGGCATTAACGTTTTACGACCCGCCAACTTTGCTCATTACCTTTGTGGCCGCAAACACTTGTACACAGGGAGAAAATATTTTATTTATAATTTTTATTTTGTGTTTTGTCCAATATCAAAAACAAAGTTTTTTCATGTTAGCTGCTTTACAAGTAGGATTTTAAGTAATTTTTTTTATATTCAATTTTTTCAAAGAGAATTAAATATTTTTAATCAATATTTCAGAATATGCTTACATATATTTTGTTTGAATAAAAAAATGCATTATTTTTTAAAATTTAATTCTTAACCAGAATTTAGTTTACAAGTAACTAATTTAAAGGCCTTCTTTTATAGTTTAACTTATCACTTTTTAGATTTTTTAATTTTATGTATAGGTGGTTGGCATCATTCAGATATAATCGTAAAAATTCATATGACAAATTTTAAAATAATATGTTATTTTCATTATATATTTTATTTATATTTTTCTATATTAAATTTTATAAATGATATATGATATTAATATATATTAACATATATGATATTAATATTATTTTGATATTTTATGATATTAATATTATTATACTTTTCTCAATGTGTTTAATCACAGCTACCGCAACGGTCGCAGTCACAGTCACGACGAGAGCGAAAGTCTGGAGTTCAGCACGGCCGAGGAGTATGCAGCGCATTTAGAAAATTTACTGCTGTAAGCGGAAGCGGAAGGAAGAATAAGAGGCGAGTCACACCAAACCATTCTCATGCGGAAAACAAAACAAATCACAGCACACACACGTACATACATTGAATGTAAACGTAAATCATGGCCATGCATATAATCAGCGAATTCCAAACAAAAACCAAAAAGAGAATACTCAGACGACAGTTGGATGTTGCATATAAATACATACTTATATTACCCATACGCATACAAACACTACTCGTAGGTAATGTCTAATATATTTCTACACATATATCATAAAAACAAAATAGTATATATCGTGGATATATATGAGTTGTACTTTATGTTCAGGACAAGGCAACAAACAGCAAACAGCAATTTTTGTACAAGCAGGAAACGTATTCGTAGTTTGTAATCTGTAATTTGTAACTTGTAACTTACCGATAGCCGTTACCGAACTAATGTAATTTTTGTAATTACGTAAGCTCACAGCCCGACACAGCAGCGGATCACCCAGTCGCCTCCGCCTACGCAATACTGGCCAAATTAGTATCCTACTTAGCTCGTATGGCAATGCACCCAAAAATCGAGATGCGAGATGCGAGGATCTCTTCACAAGGACCCTGTATATGCGTGTATAAATGTGTATTTTTGTCAAAAGACTTCTAGGTGTGTGTACATTATAAGGAACCCGAGTGGGTACGATACGAACCGTTTTTAACTATCGCATGCAGCCCTTTCTGCCCAGTCTATACAGTCTATACATATACATAGGATATATGTTTTACGACCGATTTCTACTCCTACCGTAGGCCAGAGATTTTCTACAGTGTATTCCCACAAAAAACTCGAAATCGAAATCCGAATTCGGATCGCATTTTTTATATGCATCAGATGAGAAACGATAATGAAATTATAGCATAATCCACACACACACACATACTCGTACTCGTAAATACATGCACATCCGTGGATGGTAAATTCGTAATTTATTGTCATTCGATAACGAATACTTAACTAAATTCTAATTATAATTACCGAGCATAGTTAGTTACATAATAATTTCTTTTTGCATTTAACCAATGCATTTCCAACTACAAAATTTGTAATGTAATTAAACGTAATTGTAATGACAGTTAAGGTATTAATTTAAAACAATAAACCACAACTGCAGAACACAAAGCGGATGGCGCGGTAGCCAGCCGCAAGGTGACATAATATAGTACGATTAAAGTAAATATATATATTATATTTAGTGAAATCAAAACTGAAGTGCAGAACCCTCTAGTCCTAAGCCTAAAATATGATGAAAAGAGAGCATAACAGAAATACATAATAGCATAATATAATTGAATAATACGAAACAATAAAAAGTAAACTATCAAATGCAATAGAACGCCTTTCATTTTGGAAATTAAAAGAGGTAAGAACAATGCCGCACAATATATATTTATTTTAATGGTTTTAATTTAAGTACTACAAAATTCGCTGCACATGAGGCAATCAAACAAAATTGGTTTCGGGTGAACTTCGGCCTTGCAATATTAATATCCATAAACACGCATTGAAATTTCAGAGTGAGCTGAACACACTTGGCATATCGGCAAATCCCCCATGGATTTCCAGGCGCAATTGCTGTCTATCTGCATTGAAAATATTTTATGTGGCTCATATATTTTTCACTAAATAAAAAATATTACAAATTCATCTACCTGGGCAAATGGCAAGAAATTACTTTGATCAATATTTTTCATTTAAGTTGAAATCAATTTGAATTTCCACCCAGGTATTTTTATGCGGGGGAAAACAAAGAATATTTGGCCATTTCCCCAAAACGAATGTCTGCAGCGCGTTTTCCTGTATCTATATCTGTATCTGTATCTGAACCTGAATCTGTATCTGCATCCATAGCCACATTGATGCTTGTCTCAGCCGCACGTTTGATAACCAATTTAAATAATTTTTCACTTGAATTAAAGCAAATGATTTCAAACAAAAAGAGCTTCGATGCTCGGCGGGGCCATTGATGCTTTATGAATTTCAATGGCAGGCTAACATAGTTTCCGGATGCCGATTTGGTCCTGCCGGCGATGCTCAGATATTCTGCAGATACAGATACAGATACTTATTCCGGTGGTATGATGTCTGCTGTCAAGCAAATAAACAAACAAGCCAAGAAGCCGCCGAGTGCCAACAGTTGCGATTCGGTTTGGGATTGGGACTGCCAGCTCCAATTGTGTTGGAAGCCACAATATTACGGGGAATTTAAGGGAGGGGGATTTTCTGGAGGAACGACCGCCACTTAGGCACAAAGCAATCAAACCAGATGAGCGGGATGAAATTTTAATTTAATGAATGAATGCGGATCTGCTGTATTAGTTGATTAGCTGCGAAGCCAAATCAAATCTCGGCAGCCCCAAAAACTCCAACTGCACGAGGCCAAGTATTTTGAGTTTTCAATTATAAGCCTTGCTCGAAGTCCCAGGGCAAAAAAGTTTAAATTCCGTGTGCGGCTGACAATGTCATTCATCATAACACATTTAGCCGTGAGCTTATTAGATTCCACTTTTGTGCCCAGGCGCATTTACAAGTTTTCCCAGCTTGTTTTCCAGCTACTTCGTTTATTCTTTGGACCTGTTCTCCTTTCTCTTTTTTTCTTTTTATTGAAAGCAGAGAAAACACAAAACAACTTTCCCCAACCCACACACATACGCGGCCAGCATCCGTAACAAGTTTCCGCACACACACACTCACACACACAAGGGCGTACATATGTCACGAGTAAAAACAATTTATCATTTAGCTTATCAAGACGCGCGGCCTAACGTCCATTATTTTGCGGACGCTACGCAGAGAATTGTTTTTTGATGATAGCCCCCAGTTGTAAGTCTTACTTTTTTTGCGGAATGGGAAGTGTGTGGGTTTTCCTCGGGTGCTAGGTGAACAAACACGAAAATAGCAAATGTCTGAGAAATGATTATTGTTCTGCCCGCATGTGATTTACAATCTATCATAGCCATTGGGAAATTCGAATTACGCAAAGTTATGAATGGGTTCTAATTTGAGCAGATGGGCCAATGAAGTTTACTTGAGTGCTAGAGCTATCCATTAGAAAAGAACAAATAGAAATGGTGTTTCACATGTAACAAAGATTATATTTCGTTGTAACTTTTTAATGAGTAGGCATAAATGTTTGCCAGACATTTATATTTGAATATTTCTATATAATTTTGGGATATAATGCAGACTTTGTCTGAGACATTCTCCTTTCCATTCCCTTTGTCTATATTTTATATATGCCATTTGGGTGTAATGAAGACGTTTTCTCAGACTTTCTCCTTTCTATTCCCTTTCTGGTTATTTTTAAATGCTGTTTTTTAATTTTTAATCGCTCATATGCTGGCAGTACCCAAGATAGACAATTACTGCGAACAAATAACATGTATGAATATGCCTCGGAAGGGCGTTCGGAAAGTTTGAAGGCGGGGCCGCACGGCCGCTCTCACGTGTAACTAAAAACCAACAATTATGCATGCCAAACCGCAGAAACCGATGCCACGCCCACAGCCCACAGCCCACAGCCCACATCCCACATCCAAAAGCCCTCGCGACGTCAACATAGCGGCGACAGCGACAACGGAATCGGAATTTGCATAACTTTGTATGAGATTCTTGCAGCGCAGCCATGTCGAGCCACAATATCATTCATACATGCATGCAGTTCACAAACACGTGCACTGTAAAAAGTTCAATATCTAGATCAATTTATAAATTATTAGGAGAGTAAGAAGGACCTTTGGGGGCTTATAAGACCATTTTAAATGTTTTACATAAGCAAGATATATATTTAAATTTTACAATTTAATTTTTCCAGTGTACCCATACAGTAGGATATTATAAATATAAAATTCTTGTGTTATTTGATCCCTTTCATTTAAGTTTAAATTTCATGTTGATCGATTGAGAATGTGAACTGACTTTTGAAACCTTGTAATATGCAGTAAAAACATAGCAATTAATTGTATTAAATATCATAATTTTTTCGAGTGCATCCATACGGCAGGGCACGTATACACTGCCAGACAATGTCAGTGAGCCGTCAACATTTCAACTTGTCATGCGAGCGGGCAGAGCGTGGAAAAGGGGGCTGCGGGGCAAAGGTGGGCATGGCAGGGTCGTGCCGCAAAGTCGAAGACGTTGCCCCGGGCTGCCACATGGCCTACCTTCAATTTGTCCGTGTGCCGCGCCATCCGATAACCACGGAGTTAGGTAGTAGGTAGTACGTAGTACGTAGAACCAAGCCCAACCACAATACACCAGCTTTTGTTGCATACTTTGCTGCGTTCGCTGGGAAACGTATTATTTCAGTTACGTTTTGCGGAAATGCAACTGAAAACTTGCAATTTGTTTGACGTTTCGGTATTTTTTCGTATGAATTTATAATGCCCCCGACTTCAACACCTGTCGTTCGCCGTTTGTTTTGTTTGTTTGGCTTCGGTTTGGTTTTTAGCCCGGAGTTTGCTGTTGATTTATATTGCAGGCGATCCTCCTTCGTTCTGCCCTGTGGTTTATTGATATATCAGCGGCATTGTGATTAGGCGAAAAGTCAGGAAATAAATAAGTTCACGTTCGCAGAGAGTGTGTACACACATGCGTATTTATGTTATGCCGCCGCAGTAACACACAAAAGGTAGCAACTTTTAATTGAAAAACTTGGGCACTTACAACTTGCAAGGCAGCGGTGGTGAAGCCCCCTCCCCTCACCCCTCTTCTCTCTATTAGCAGTTGCAGGCGTAGGTGTAGGTGTGGGCGTGGCAGAGTGGCAAGTGGCAATACTGGCATTGTCGCCGGCATTACTCAAGTTGTTAGCAATGTTTACAAACACAATAAGCAAATACGCGAGCACCAACAAGTGCACTGAACCAAAAGTTTCTAAGATAGGGATTTTGCTCTGAAGGACGAGAGTAAGATGGTATTAAGCCAAGCAGATTAAATAGTCGATTATATAGGAGATTATTGCTTTCAAACTCAGACGATCTTAGATAAGAATTATAATACAATTTTTTCAATTTTCAAAATCGAATTTTAAATTTGTTTTTAAATTTATTTTAAGTAATCATATTTTACAAAGTAAGTTTAGTTTCTTGTTATCTTAAGGTGTTAATACTTTAATAAATTGACCTTAACAAAGATTTATTGATGATATAGGTCTTATCTGTGGAAATAAAAGAAGGTTTATTTTTATTAAAGAAACTTTACTACATTTTTGTAAGACTCAATTTTAAATAATTCAATCGGCTAAAAACTTAAGTTAGCTTTCTTAATTAACAATTTTCACAATAATATACATATATTGAGTTATATTTTTAGATAAAAAGTGAAAGTTTTTTTTAATATTGTTTGGATAATAGAAATATTTTAAATTTTTACTTTCCCTATATAGTATAATCTTTCTTCCAGTGGCGCTGCTCGTTGTTAGTGAACAGGTTTAGTTGACTTAAAGACGGCATCGTCAACACGGCTCCTGTTTACATCGAAAGTTTTTCCGCTCTTCGTTTCTTTTTCCTCGGCCCACTGATAGTTAAACAGCGCTAAGCAAAGTCTGGCCGGGAAAACGTGCGATAAGTTTTCCATTTTGCTGCTGGGCAAATATTTACCACCTTGGCAATCGGCATTTACCACCAGGTGCTGGTGCAGGTGCAATGGCCATGACAGCGTTTACCCATCTTCCCCTAATTAAACTATTTGGGATCCGGGATCATCGAAATAAAACAATCAAATCGAATTGCCAAAATGCTTAACTTTTAATTAGCAGTCGAGGCGAAGCACCAGCAGCAAATACATAATTAAAATTATGATTTGGCTTTTTGGGAACTAATCTATTTTGGGCGAATTGTAATTGGCAGACGGAAATTTCATATGCAAATTGTATTAGGTATCAGGGGAGGTCGGTCGCATTCCGGTTTGGAATGGCCTGTTGCGGGGGCGACCAGCTAACCGCACCGATTATCGGGATGGGGGATGCGGGGGGGCAGCTGCAGCTGCAGCGGCAGGAACAATCCACTTGCATAAGCGAGCAACTGCTAACGCCCCCAAAAGCCACACGGCGGAGGATTTCGCATATCGGTATATCATGCAAACCATAAGCCTATTAATAGCCCCTGTCTGCGATCAGACAAGCAATTAAAATTGACTGCACTTTCGAGCGGATGCCCTCCAGCCACATGGGTCATCTCGCATTTCTGCGTTGCCGCCTTTCCCAGCTTTTCCCCAGTTTTCCCCGATTTTCCCGCTTTTCCCGCTTTTCCAGGAAAATTGTTCAATTGGGCGTAAATGTGTCGGCGTCATCGCCACGTGCACGTGCTCCTGTTACTTTTCCAGACCGGCAACTGGCAATTATTTAGGTTCAGGCCGTCGCGTCGCCAAAACATAAATTTTTTTTCAACGAAATTACTTGCAATTTGGGCCAATGTGTGGCAGATTGTTGTTGTCATCTGACAGGATAGACTTTGATTTGTTGTTATGGAATATAAGAATGGATGTGTTGTCACATCAAGTATACGCCTAGAGTGATGACTACAAAGTTGGTTGGAATAAAGGTAGAAAGTCCAATTTTAATATTAATCAAATTAAACAGTGGCTATTTAGTTATCAAAATCCTTAGTGCTTTCAATAATAACGTATTTGTTTTGGAAGAAAAAGCTCTGCAGAGAATGTTTATTTTGAAATATGTTTTGCAAGCTTTTAAAGTTCGTCCTTCTTAGTTACTAAATTTAAGCTTTTCCTGTGGCTAAAACCAATCTCAGCCGGGAAATAACAATGATTCCTAAACTAAAGCTTTTAGGATAATACACAATCCTCTGAGACTTAAATTCGGAATTAAAATTACATTTTTTTGCTTTACACTTTGGTAAATAACGTTAGCAAAAGTAGTTAACATTTTTTCAGGCTTTTTAAGGAGTGTATATCTGGAAAAGTGCCAAGCGATACCTTTTTCCAATATTTTTTTAGTAATTCAAGACTTATTTTCCAACCAGAATTTTTTTAGAAATTAAAGAAAAACAAACTAACAAATTTGGAATCACTGGTTCCACGACAGCCAGGACTCGCAGCACTGTTATCCTTCCAAAAATAAGAGCTTTTCCCAAGTTTCACTTCCATGGAAGGCTTTAAGGATGTCGGCTTTCTACCAATGCTTTTAAAGCTTTTACAGTGAATACCAAAAAAACAAACCCTCATTTTAAGTTGTGTTTTATATTTTATTTAATCGTAATTCAATCGTTTGCAATATACGTAATATGTAAATAAACAATGCAAATCCAAAGCATTAAAAAGTTAGCTTTTATGGTTAATCGTAAATCATTTTAACTTCGTCGAATAATCACCCAAATCTGGGGTACTATTCTTATTTCAATTTATATATTTATATTCGTGCACTTTGGCCCAACGCGAAATTTGTAAATATTTGCACTTTGCTTTTTTTTTATGTTTACATTAACGATAATTGCCTAAAATATGCTTGAAATCTTATTAACTTGTAAGGTAATACATATTTAGGTTAGCGTTTATGTCACTGGTAAGTATAGCTAGAATAATCATTTGGTCTTGGTTTCATGCCGCGATGAAACGCATGTGTTTCTGTAATTCCATTATCGATAATACTTGATAAATGTTAAACTCGCGAAAATTGTTGCTGTTGCTTAGGTTAGATTGAAACTCGAATTTGCTAAACTTACGGAGCTGTTCTCGATTGGAAATCCGCCTCATCGAACCCTAATCGAATCGAGAACAGATCTGATAAATTCGGTTTAACGCTAGAAGTGTGTATATTATAGGTTTTTTTCTTTAATTTTGCAAGATAGTTAACCATAATCGGTGTACAAGTGTTACAGTAGAGTTAGTTGGTATGTTTGTTGGTCAAGATTTCCTTCAGTAGTTTTGATTCGGTGTGTTTCGGTTCCAGTTTTGGCTGATATGCAATCTTTCGAAAGGTTTTGTGGGTTGACAGTTGAGTTGAGTGTGTGTATCGAAACAGAACGACTTGCTAATGCTCAAATATTCAAATTGGTATCTTCAACAATCAACGATAACATTAAATTAGCTCAATATAAATTCATGTAAATTCAATTAGTTAAATCTATAAATTAAATTTGAATAACAATTACGAATCCCGCAATTCCGAATACGTTTTAACATTATTGTCCTCTGCGTTTTGGTTTTTGTGTGTGCGTCAAGTAAATGTGCAATTACAACGATCACAATTACAAATACAATTAAAATGGAAAATTGAATACAAAAATGAAGAGGTAAAATCTGAGCATCAAGTGCGTGGGTGTATTCAGATTGGACATTGGTCAGGCAGAGGTGAGTGGATGCTTCTGTTCGGTAGGCAATGTCAAAGTATCTCTTCAAATTTTAATTATGCATATTGTGCGGTTTTTGCCTGTGTCCATTGATGGCGAGAAAGTGCTAAATGCATAATTAATTAATAGTTTCAACACACTTGCCGCGGCCAGACTAAACGAGTATATACACTATAATATCGAAATCACCCAAACGCTGCGTTTATAATTAGTTGCTGCTCCATTAACTGGGACCTAGCTGATATCCCCAAGGATCCGCTCATCACTACTATCACACTGCCCTCGTTTTCCACATCATCTACATCAGGGCGCAGCGGTTCCATCGCGAGGGACTCCTCACCCCCTCGCCCTCGTTCAAAGCCATCGTCTTGGAGCGCATCAGGTTGAGATCGGTGCGGATGCTGGGACGTCGGGCGTTCGGGGTCACCACCCCGCAGGCATCGCTGAATCTCCGCTTGATGGACAGCGCGTTCTTCTTGGCTCCGCCCACCGCGGATCCGTGAGGAGGGAGGGGCGAGGGTGCCCCAAACACGGACACCAGTCGACGATGGTGATTCGGGGTCATCTCCAGCGGCAGATTGGACACCGTGAACAGCGAGTGGAAAAGGTCATCGATGCGGTAGTTCTGACGGGCCGAGCACTCCACGAAGGTGCAGCAGTTGTCCTGGCCAGCGATGTAGCCCATCACCTCGTCCACTTGCACAGTTCTAAAAAAAATAAAGCATGAAACATATGGAATAACTATGTCTTAAAGATGATGACAGGTGCCACGAAAATCTAATGAGATTTTAAAATTTGAATGCAGATTTTAAGAGAATTGAACCACGAGTCTTTAGAGGTATGCCACTTTGAAATCGTCTTAAGTTTGGTAAAGTTATGGACTCTGGAAGTCCAGCTGTAGGTGACCTTTTTACAAGTTGTCATAATCGTTGAAATAACTAACATCAAAATGGGTTAAAATTTTGACCAACGTCAAAATGAAAAATTTGAATGCACATTTTCAGAGAATCAAACCACAAGTTTTTAGAGGTATGCCACTTTGAAATCGTCTTAAGTTTTGAAAAGTTATGGACTCTGGAAGTCCAGCTGTAGGTGACCTTTTTACAAGTTGTCATAATCGTTGAAATAACTAACATGAAAATGGGTCAAAACTTTGACTAAAGTTAAAATGAAAAATTTGAATGCAGATTTTCAGAGAATCAAACCACAAGTCTTTAGAGGTATGCCACTTAAAAATCGTCTTAAGTTTGGAAAAGTTATGGACTCTGGAAGTCCAGCTGTAGGTGACCTTTTTACAAGTTGTCATAATCGTTGAAATAACTAACATCAAAATGGGTTAAAATTTTGACCAACGTCAAAATGAAAAATTTGAATGCACATTTTCAGAGAATCAAACCACAAGTTTTTAGAGGTATGCCACTTTGAAATCGTCTTAAGTTTTGAAAAGTTATGGACTCTGGAAGTCCAGCTGTAGGTGACCTTTTTACAAGTTGTCATAATCGTTGAAATAACTAACATGAAAATGGGTCAAAACTTTGACTAAAGTTAAAATGAAAAATTTGAATGCAGATTTTCAGAGAATCAAACCACAAGTCTTTAGAGGTATGCCACTTAAAAATCGTCTTAAGTTTGGAAAAGTTATGGACTCTGGAAGTCCAGCTGTAGGTGACCTTTTTACAAGTTGTCATAATCGTTGAAATAACTAACATCAAAATGGGTTAAAATTTTGACCAACGTCAAAATGAAAAATTTGAATGCAGATTTTCAGAGAATCAAACCACAAGTCTTTAGAGGTATGCCACTTTGAAATCGTTTTAAGTTTGGTAAAGTTATGTACTCTGGACGTCCAGCTGTAGGTGACCTTTTTACAAGTTGTCATAATCGTTGAGCAACGTCAAAATGAAAAATTTGAATGCATTTTTTTAGAAAATTTAACCACAAGTCTTTAGAGGTATGCCACTTTAAAATCGACTTAAGTTTGGTAAAGTTATGGACTTTGGAAGTCCAGCTGTAGGTGACCTTTTTACAAGTTCTCATAAGAAAAGTAATGGGCTTAAAAGTGCAAGTTTTTGGTTACTTTGGGTTATCACATAAAAAAGATGAAAAATCGACCCAAAAATACAAACCAAGATACAGGTTTTTAGAGGATTAAACCACAATCATTTAGACGTATGCCATATATATTTATTTTGAAATTCAAAACAATTAAAATCAAACAAAAATTTTTTTTCAAAACCAAAGACTTAAAATTTGTTTTAGACATTTTGTAGAACTATTTTAGAGACACCTGATAGACCTTATACGCAGTACTTACTTGAAGTCGCGATCACATTTATTGCCCGCTAGAATCATGGGTATTTTCGGAAGGCTCTTCTTCTTGAAGCCGGAACCAGGATTCAGGGCCGCCCATTTGGTCTCCAGGATATTCTCCCTCAGGCGCACCACCTCTTCGAAGGACTCTCGGGAATCCATGCTAAAGACGAGGATAAACAGATCCCCTGCAAACGCCGATGCCGAAAACCATAAAGGGAAACATTAATCGTCGTTTGATTTAGCAAATGTAAATTTATTGCTTATTTATGGCCCCGCATCTATGACCTACGCACTCGCAATTTTCCAGACACTATATAAAACGCTCCTGACATCTGAAGCTCATCTCCGCAGTGTTAATGTATTTGAGATTGTGTGTGAGGGCTGCGTTGCTTAGGGTAATTCGGATAGCCGAATTTGGAGAATGGGAAAATCAATAGCCGCATGCCACTGATATATAAATACCCTACTTATTATTTGCAATTCATATATATTTATACTTCTGTACGCTTTTATGAGCCAAAAAAAGTTCTTGGAAGGGCGTGACTAATCAATTTATAAATGTTTTTGATTGAGACCAGAACGAATTGTTAGAAAACTTGAGGATAGGCTGGTCTTTTCTATATTTACCTACTTCACTATTAATTTAATAATTTAATAATTTGGCCGAAAATGGTAACCATACGTTGTTTAATATAATTATACATAAATAATAAATAATAATTATATTGTGTCCTATCTTCGTATTTCTATATTAATTATGCATAACTATAAACTAATTTATGGAAAGTTAGTTTCTAGGTCGTTTGACCTAATTTCAGTTTCAGGTCTCTTAGTTCAAATATTAACGACACCCTTGATGTCACAGGAAAGTTAACAAAACTGCGCCCACGCCATGAAATGATTTCAAAAGGGTATAGAACCCAACTTTGTTTACCAGCAGCTGAGCCTGATTTTTATGATAATTTATAGGACATTAAATGGCACCCAATGAACGCAGTCAACAACTTAAGTGATAGAACGTGCGTTCCCAGTGATTGCCGCATATCCTTGGAATGTCGCACATACATGCAACTATTTGGTTGCCAAGACGTCACACTCACCAGTTAGAAATGATAAACGTCGCATTGCGGGAAACGGATGATAGCCCGAAGTATCCAAAATATCCAATTGAAAGACCTCATTCCGTATGCGATACAATTTGCGATGGAACTCCTCGATGGTCGGCGTGTAGGCCTCCTCGAACCGATTGCCCAGGAAACGTGCCACAATCGAGGACTTGCCGGCGCGTGATGAGCTGCATGGAGGGAAAAGGGAAGGAAAATTGCAAATCGAGATTGGATTTCAAGTTGACACTGTCCAGTTGGCAAATGCAGAGTAACGGCAATAAAAGCTCAACATTAACTCGAATGGACGTCATTCATTCGATGATTTTTGCATTGCAAAAAGGTTGTGGAAAATGAGAAACAGATAAAAAATATTGTTTTTAATTTTTTGCTGTAGTCTTATATCAAAATCCATATAGACAAACACCTTTCAAAGATTAACTTGACTTTGCTTGTAAATACATTTAAAAACATTTTTTACTTTTTGGGGTATTAATTAATTCGATTCATATCTAATAGGATATTTTCCTTAATAAGTTTTAATATTATAAGCTAGGTATTTGCTTTGGCTGAATTGGTTCTTTTTAATTGAAACCAAAAAAAGCTTTTCCTTTTCTTTAAAATCCTATAAAAATATGTTTTACATTTATTCTTAAATCGAGATACAAATCACTGATAGTGAACTGTAGTAACTGGTTGAAGAATAAATGTAACACATGGTTCTGGTTAATTTTATAATTCATGTAACATTGGGGTTTTTCATCTCAAATGTATTTAAATACATTAAAAAAAAGAAAAATAAAAAAAAATTTCGATTAAGTAACTAAGAACAAAGTTAGCCCCCGATTTTGTCAGTGCGATTCCACAGGTCGTATACGTACCCGAGCATGACCAGGCGATAGCAATTCTTGGCCGAGGGCAGGCTGTCGTCGCAGAGCGACAATCCTGCACCGGGGCCGTATATGAAGTCGTCCGCCTGCTCGATGGCGTCCAGATTCGAGTGGTGCTCCAGCATGTGGGCCTGGTGCAGCTCGGCGGTGGTGACCAGGCGGCTGCTGGTCACGGCTCCGTTGCTCCCGCTCGCTGTGGTCTCGTCCAGAAAGGTGACCACGTGGGCCTGTGGCGGTGATGCCTCATCGGAGGGGGTTGGATAGGTGGGGTGGGTGGTATGGGTTGGATGGGTTGGGTGGTTGGAGTGGGTGGTGGCAGCTCTGTGACCCGCTGTGGTGGTGCTTGGCTGCTGATTGCTTTTGCTGCTGTTGCTTCTCGCGTTGTTGTTGTTGTTGCTGGCGTTGTTGTTGCGGCTATTGGGTGTTGTTGGTGGCGCTTCATTTAGTGCCACATCGACGTAGTTGTTGTTGTTGCTCCTAGCACAAAACCAATTTTTGCAGCGATACATTTTGACTGTGTCATTTCCGCCACTTTAACTAGTTGTCGTCGGCACCGCCGGTGGGTTAATTTGTGGTGATGGCGGTGCAGCACCTGTTTTCCACGATATACAGCCACGGCAGCAAGTCAGTTGCAATCGCAATTTGCATTTTCAATCATTCAACTTTGTCGTTAACAAGCTGACATTTGCATATGTACTATACCTCACGACGCCTTAATGGTATAACTTTATCGCGGGCGAAATGCATTAGCCGCGCGCGCTTTCTCCGCGCCAAACTGCAAAAAGATGTAAAGACGTAAAAATGCATTCAGCTCGTAAATACATATAAAAAAGTTACGCCAGATGCTCAAAGGAGCCGGCAAGAAAGTTAGTGGGAGGGAAATCTAGGGGGGGGCGTCAAACATTTTGGAGGCCATTAAGCACGGTAATTGCCCCAGGCCCATCCAGACGAATAAACCACACAAAAACCCAAAGAGAAAATAAGAGGAAAATGCAACCGGAAAACGAATCCTCGACTACCACATACCCGTCACTCGAAACCAGATTATCAGTGCAGTTGGGAAAAGTCTTCTTGTTAGCCAAATGCAATGATAATCCGATTGTTGGCGAATTTACTTAACATTTGCACCACTTTGCTGCTCAAGTAGTGAACTTTGTGATTTTAACTACCTTAAGTCTGAAAAAGCTGAATTTCTTGTGCTTTTTTTATAAAAGTAAGCATGTGAAAGGGATTGAATATAAAAAAATTAAAGTAAACTTAAGCTTTTTTCGAGTTTTGCACAGAATTCAATTCAATTTTCATTTGTTTTAAGTGCTTGCCAATTGGCTGCAGCATTGATTTTGGCAAAAATTATGTTTTAAGCTATTTTAATCCCAGAAGGCTTAAATAAAATAGACAACAAAAAAATGAAGCTTTATTAAAAAAAATTTCAAGAGGAAATAATTTTAAATTTGTAGGTTGTTTTTTTAGGCCTAGGTTTAGAAATATTGTGTTTGACGATGGTTTTAATTTTTAACAAGAACAGTTATTAACCCATTTTATTATAAATAAAAAAATTGGATTACATTTTTAACAAGAATAGTTATTAACTAATTTTATTATAAATAAAAATAATATTTCTTTTTAACTTCAAAATGTAAAATAGGCGTCAATAGCGTTTTCCGCGAAAAATTGGCAATGCCCCAAGTTCATCAAAGTCATTGAAAAGGAAAATTTGAAAACCAGCTGCACTCTTCACATTAAAAGGGCTATTGGGCTCACCGTAACCCCCCTCATTCAAGTCATAATGGGCATCTTGCCACAAATCTAATTAACTTTGTTTTAGCATGCTACGTGCTCCGTGTACATGGGCCGGAATGGCCACATTGGCTCAACTCATGCATATCGCATGCAGCAGCAGCGTCGGGCGGAGGGGGAGGGGGAAAATGGGGGCGAAAGGAGGAAGTGGGCGGTGGGAAATCAGACCGGAAAGAGCCGTTACCGTTACCGCCGAACGGGAGCTTGGCGCCAGCCATAATCGAGTGCACCAAGTGCTCGTACTTGCGTTCAGATTTCAGCTCATTTTCCCCGTTTTCGTGCACTTCCTTTTTCTTTGCTTTTGGCTTAAATGCCAGCTCACAAAGGCAATTCGAGTGGAAAAATTGCAAGAAACGAATTCACCGCATATTATTATACACACAAGGCGACACCCCATCCAAAAACCAAGTCCAAAGTCCCAGCCGAATAAAGGCCATTTAGCCCAACTACTGGTAATTTTTCCATAATTGATTTTAGCTTGCGGTTGTCCTCTGAAATGGCCATGTGTTATAAAGGGGGGCAGGGGGCCATACACCCCCCCACACACACAAATGAGTTTTTGCCATGGCCGTAAGAGGAAAAACATACAGAAATGGCTGCGGAAACGCCTTGAGACAATGGCGACATTTGCGAGGCAATGTGGAAATGGCTGCTGTACAAAAACAGAAAGAATAATCAACTAAGTGACGGAGCAGTTCTGTTATTTGGCGAGCACCTGTGCAGGAGGTTCCCAGAGGCGTCCCCTCAAGAAGGGGGAAATCTTTCCAAGAGCCGACTTTTTCGGAAACTTAAGTTCATAGTTTATAGTTTTACCCAAGCCCTAATATATACAAGAAAGTATTTTATTCCGTTTTATAGTCTTAAGAATATTGAAACTTGCTTGAGTTAACAAATCGTTGTTAAATCATTTTCTAATAAATAATAAAATTATCAAAACACAACTGTTGATTTCGCTATGTATCCAAAAATATTAAACAAACTATTGTTTTACGGCAGATACCATTAAAAGGCTATACATTTTTCAATACCTGATTTCTTATTGTTTTGCTTGATATTCAATGCAATGCTCGAACTTTTCTTGACAGCTTGTGAAAAATTGTTTGCCTGAACTAACTAAAACTTCTAAGATGCAACACATCTGCACTCGCGCGAAAGTGTCGATAACTTTCTTTATTGTTCACCACATGGAAAAGTTTTTTTAAAATCGTTTTGTTTTATTATTCTTCGGATTCGGAAAAAGATATAAAAATCCGACACATGGATTCGCCTAGACTTGATCGATGAAATTTTAAAAATAATATAAATCGATGGGAAATAAACGGGGATATATAATATTTGAATGCAATGCACGCGTGAGTCCACACTTTGCTGTTGACAGATTACGATGGTCGTGGAGTAAGTTTGCGTATGAGAAGTGGCACTTCAGGAGGCTCTGAGCACGTCTGCTGCACACCCCTTTGAATGGCACCTCCCCCTGCCCATGCCATTGGATCCTGCTGTTGTTTGCTGCCCCCACTAACGTTCCAATTTCGCCGCAAGAGTCTCAACAATTTCTCATATTTGTTTACAATTCGCGCATACAAATGCGCAAGGTTGTCCGCCAAAAGCACCCGGCACCTCCCATTTGGCAAACATCGCCACCCACCGCCCCTTTCAATGGACGCCTGCCACAAGTTGTCATGTCGCAAATGGAAACGGAGTGTAATCGACACCCAATTTAAGGGATACACATAAAAAACTATTTTTTTAGTAAACAAGTATAAATGTATGATTCAAGATCAACAGCGTACCTTTTTGATTTCACAACTGATGATTAATCATAATCAGCCATAATCAAAAGATGATTTTTTTGATGAACTGTTTATGAAAGGTTATAAAAAAAAATTCAGTACTATATTATACAATACTTGTTAAATAAAAATATAAAAAAAAATCTTTTTAGTGTCAAATATTATATATTAGAAAATTACTTAACTTTCCAAGTCATTGAAAACTTTTCCATGATGCAGAACAATAAGTTATTCCGATAAGTAAACTAGTTTTTAATAAGTGTACTACATATGCACAATACAAGTTCTACCCACGCGGCTCAAGCTAAAAGAGCTTCAAAAAGTCAACGGATTCCGGATCAGCTTTAAATAATGTCCAGTATTATAATACAACAAAGTAGTGAAAACACTCTCTAGTAACAATTTGCCTTAAATTAGTTTCTGTATTATTTTCGAAATAAACATACAATGGATGCCAATGGTCCCCCAAAAATGTGTTTACAGAATAAACATAGAACTAAATTAAATTTTAGCCAACTTTGGCGAATGAAAACCACACGAATTCGGATTTGTTCAGGTGTACGACTGTGTGAGAAAAACTGATAGAATGAGCGCCACTTGAATGGGAGAAAAATCGCCGAAATGTCAGAGGAGCGGAGAACAAAAGCTGGAACAGATTAGCTGAGCGAGAAAAACACAGAGCGGCGGAGAAACCACAAACAGCGAGCTTCAATTACGCCGACAACATTGAGCGATAATCGAATGGAGGTTATCTCGGGCAGCACCTGGAGCTCGATGATGCCAGACTGAGCCACTACCAAGTCGGGTTAGTCAGATTGCGACGGCCTAAGGGAAAAGCTGTCGGGCGATGAATCCAGTCACCAGCAGCAGTGTGGCTGAGCTGGCCCAGAATGGTGAGGGCTTCGAGACGGATGCCTCCAAGGTGGCGGAGCATCAGGAGTACGCCGATGCCCTGTCAATGTCCGGCCGAGGTCGAAAACGGATATGGAGCAGAAGGTCCTGCGATGTCCGGAAAGTCATAAGTGTGGGCGCCATTTTTATCGCCTTGCTGCTCGTCATCGGCGCCATTTACATGCACTTAAATCAGAAGCATCGCCTGGGCCGACTGAACATCCCGCCCAAGAAGAACGAGGACCTCAATGTGGTCACCGCTGCAGGAGTGGGTGAGTGCTTCAAGGACCCTTTTTCAATTGCCGAGAGCTCTTCCCCATCAGATAATTTTATAAGCGGCTTATATTGTTGGGGCGTTCTACTCTCTCTCTCTTCCTCAGTTGACTGATTAGAATTGCCATTAGGAGAGCCAGCATTCCAAAATAACAGCGATAAGAAATAAAAGCTTGTTTAATTTATTTAAAAATTGTGACATGTGTGATTTGTTTTCATTATTTTATTTGCCTAATAACAATAGTCATTTCCTTTTCGGAATAATACACATATTTTTGATTACAATGACAACAACCATAATCCAAACTTTATTTGCAGCTAAGAGTGTATTTATGTAAATTTTAAAGGGCATTAGTAATTTTAGTTTTGTGCGCAAAAAGAGATTATGTATGTTTGGTATGTTCAACAGCAATTTAAAGTTGCTAAAACTTCAATTTAAAGTTGCTTTACTAAAACGGCTTATAAAACATACCCAGTTTGTAGTTGGGGTTATCTTAAAAGTTTTCAACTTAAGAAGATTGTGGCTGGAACGTGAGGTCTGCAAGTAATTTAGTCATGGATCACCCTCTCGCAACTATGCTGTTAGCTATATTGTGTGGTAAATAGTTTCGATTAAAGGGCTAATTGGACGTGTCTTTGGAATGCGTTTTGCAGCTGCCCAGACGATAACAACATTCCAGCCATCCACATCGCAGCCGAGCGCCGAGTGCCTGGCCTGCATAGCCACCACTGCCACGAATAATGTTCCTGCAACCTGCACGAATCGAGGAAGGGGCAAGGAGCCATGCGGCATTTATCGCATCTCCTACGACTACTGGCAGGACACACTGGGGTTAATTCACCCGGAGGACTCACTCGCACAGGGTAAGGCATACACTGAGGGAAAGGGCTTCAATCAGAATGCAATGTAGACAAACATTAATTACCCTAATGACAGGATTGCACTTCATTTGAAAATTAAAACCCATCTATTGTTTAAATCTCCAGGCAATTATTAGTTACTTAACAAACCCTCTTTTAGTCTTGCGAGATTTTGTAATATTGTTTACTAGATGATTGATATATAACGATAATTAAACTCATCTTTTATTAATCAAAGCAATTAATAAGCCTCTTAAACATAGCCTGCTTTTTAATGCTTCAGTTATAATGATGTATAAAATCAAATTTAAAAGTCTTATTATAATTTTTTATTGCCAATAATATACAATAATAATATGAGAGATGGTTATCTTTTTATACCCTTGCAGAGGGTATTATTATTTTGGTCAAAAGTGTGCAACGCAGTGAAGGAGACATCTCCGACCCTATAAAGTATATATATTCTTGATCAGGATCACCTCCTGAGTTGATATAGCCATGTCCGTCTGTCCGTCTGTCTGTTTCTACGCAAACTAGTCTCTCAGTTTTAAAGATATCGAATTGAAACTTTGCACACACCCTTCTTTCCTTTGCATATATACTATAAGTCGGAACGGCCGGGATCGGACGACTATATCCTATAGCTGCCATATAACTGATTGATCGGAAATGCCATAACTTTGGTGTTTGTTAAGTTAGGCCAATCAATCTGACCTATCAAATTTCATAAGGATCGGCCGACTATATCCTATAGCTGCCATATAACTGAACGATTGGAAATGTCATAACTTTGGTGTTTTTAAAGTTAGGAAGTTGGGACATTTTATGAGTATTAAGAATACATCATATGAATAATTTTGAAGAATATAATTTACAGAATATTCTGCAAGGGTATATCAACTTCTGCTCCGTCCGAAGTTAGCTTTTCTTTCTTGTTTATGTTCATTATAATAATTGTGTCTTTAATAAGATCGAATGGTCTGAAATATTTGAATATTTGTTGAAAAGCTCATAAAATATTTAAAATTTTTCCCTGTGTCTTTGGCTGGCAAGCTGCCACAAGCGTGTAATGACCATCGTCTAACCACTCCATTCCCCTCTCTCTGCCCCACAGACTACAAGGAATGCGTGGTGGATAGGGAGTGCGCCGAGAGAATTGTGCGTAGCTATGTGGAGCGTTATGACTGGGATTGCAACGGAGACGGAAGGATCGAGTGTCGGGATCATGTGATCCTGCACATGCGAGGACCCGGAGGCTGTCGCCGGCGAGAGTCCCTGGAGGACGAGCATAAATCTCGCATGGAAAAGTGTTTCAAATACATGGATATTATATAGCACCGACTGGCCGTTTATTGTTTCAACTGCAGGCGCTCCATTATGGGTCGCCAGTAGAGGGTCAGCACAAAGAGACCCAGGAACTCGTGGAACAGCAGCAAGGCGGCCAACTTGTCATCGTAAAGGGCAGTTGAGGCCCTCCTGCCGCCCGTTATGCACTGCACATGATACATCAGGAACTGCAAGTGATGTGTTGTGGTTATGCACCAGACAGTTGCAGAAAATGGAAAGCGGAAAATTCTTACTATCAGCACAACGCAAGCGATTAAGCCAGCGAAGAGATAAAATCCCCAAAACACATCAAGAACAGTATATAGAACCAGGGAATATAGGCTCAGCATGTAGGCGCCATAAGCCAACATATATAGGTAAATTCCGGTGCCTGTGAGGTCGTACTGTGGGTGGCAAGGATTTTCCGATTTTTTCGGGTTTTTTAATTCATTTTGTGTACCCACTCACCGTCATTAAAGCTGATATCAAAGTGGTAAACACAACCACCACGGCGACAATTAAAAATCCAGCTAGCATATACAACATTCCTGATGTAATTATGAGTACACTTAGCGAAACCACCACACATTCCACCTGAATAAGATAAGCACTTAAATTTAATTTTGGAAAATACTACTGATGAGAAAATATTTTAGTCCCTTCTTTACAGTTACATCTTGTAAGCTTAAAATTTAAATTATTTATTTTACACTTATAGCAATTTTATTCAAGCCAATACTACCTTTTATTAGAAAAAAATTGAAATGTTTTCGTAAAAAAATGCTTGTAACGTTTTATATATATATAAAATATATTTATATATGCCATATAAATTTAAAGCCTAACACTGTTAACTCTGAGGCAAACATTTGTTATTCCAGAAAATAATTTTTTTGTCTTTCGATTAAGTTTTTTCTTATTTTTAGTGAATGTAAATTATATAAAATTTTGCTAAGCTTACTCACAATAATCAAGGCAACCATCCAGTTGATACAGGTCATTTTCCGCAATGGCTTACTAAGAGCAAACAATAAAAGCAGGAACATGCCCACGACAAAGGCCAAAAGCAACGCGGATGTGTGTTCTCTTACCAAATCGGAAATCCAATCCCTATCAAAAAAAAGGTTCATAGCCAAAAAAATTTAGAAATTTGTATCAATAACCTTACTGCAATAACGTTAGCATTAGGATCCAATGCACAAATCCGAGCACGAGGAATCCAAGAAACTCCAGGTAAACCTTTATTACGAATTTTCGGCGCTCCTCGACCGTTTCCGTGTGATAAAACGGCCAGATGCTGATATTTGCGTCGAACATGGCGATAGATAAATAGTTTGATTTTGGTCGCCAGGAGCTCTGGGTTATACAGTATGTCTATGTTTTATAAAAAATTAACGCCATTTCGGGCACTAATTGCACATCAAAATGGGCCGTCCGAAAAAGCAAAAAGTTTCCCAAGCGAATTAGAGCAAACAATGTCGGCGATTCGACGTACATAATTGAACTCGACAAAAGTTTATAATCTGGCAGCATCGCGAACAAATTGAACAACAAGTCGCAAGTGTGTAATAATTAAAAGTTTGCGCAAAATGTTGCGGACAAATAAGTGGCGGGGGGCACAAAGTTTGGGGCAAGTTTTAAATCATTTAGCAGCGTCGGACTAATTGCTGCCATGTCGCATTAATTTGTTGGGACTGATAGCTGGCAAACAGTGCGTATGCGCAATGCGTTTATACATAGTTTGCGTTATGGCTTATTTAATATTGACAAGAGTTGGCAGTTTCTAAATTGCTGGATAAAAGGATTTTCTAAGATTATTTTCAAAAATGTCATTTGACTTTTGATTGTATTATAAATGTAATTAAGTTTGTTAAGTTTATGGACACACAGAGAAAATTGCACTTTGTCACTATTTAATTTGATTATGATTTACTTTACTCTTTGAAACTTAAAGCTTTCTGGAAGGATATTAAAATGTTTTCTATAAATTAAATAATTTACTTTATGCATTTGTTGTTTCTTAAAAGAAAGTATTCTTAGTCTTTAGTCTTTTTGCCATATAATTATATAAGCTGTAACTTAAAAAAAGACCAATGCTCTAGTAACCAGACAGAGTTTCTCTAGGACCTTGCCTTAGTCCTAATCCGTCGATTGCATGACAAGTGTATATAAATTTATTCAATCAAATGTGCAAATAGCGCATAATGCAAACAGAAATAGTCCAAATGAGCAGACAATATACGGCAGGGACAATCCGCTTAGACTCAGCGACTCAGACTCGCGATTCGTGTTCATTACTTATTGTCGATATCGAGCGCTGCAGATAAACATGGCTTGATTGCTTGATTGATTGAGGGCTGGGCTAACTGAACTGCTGAACTGCTGAATTGCCGCCAACTCGCCATGGCCAAGGACAAAGAGTTTCATTTAAAAACAATTACGAATTCGGTTGAATAACTCGTTGCGCGTCGATATTTTTCTTTTTCACTGGCCCGTGTCAAAGGTGTCGTTCATCCAGGTTGAAAAAGTGCGAGAGGCGGGAAATGGCGGAGGGAGGGGCTCAAAATTGATTGCTTTATTGCAGCACTAAGAGGAGATAGAGTGAAAGATGTAGGGGAGAGGGGAGAGGTGGTGCAAAATTGATGGAATGCACTGCAAGTTGTGATAAGAATTTTTGGCGCTCAACTTGGAAACTTTGCTGGGAACTTTTTCAGCTGGCAGTTGGATTAGGTGTGCTCTTTTCGGTGTCCCTTGCAAACCTCTATCATTCATGAATTTTCAAATTCCCCCCCCCCGCACCCCGCACTCCACCCGTCTGTTTGCATTGCCAAGTTGAATGAAAATGTCAAAAAGTCTTGCATACTTTTCGACTGCCAAGCTAACAGCATTTGCCAAATGAAATTTACATGACATGGCCAAAAAGGGTGGACCAACCTGAAAGGGTTGCTCGTTTCCCGGCTGGACACTCCGCTTAAGTCCCCCGGGCAATCAAAAGTGTGCCACATAATAAAGTGTACATCAGAGATTAGCCACCGCCACCGCCATCAACAAAAACAAGCCGGCCGCTGTCCCGCGGGGGAATTATCCTGATCCTGGTTCTGGTTCTGGACCCCATCCCATTTTCGTCCTTGTAATTCCTGCAAAACGTCAGCCTTTGTGCGCATACTTAAACAGACATTGCCAATGACATGACCTACAACTGTTCCGGCGAACCGCTTTAATGTCTCTCTCATGGCTGCCGGCTAAAAGCCGAGGCGCTTCATTAATTTTATTGCCGCCTTCCCCTGCCCACCATTCCTATTTCCCCCTCCCCCTTCCCCTTGCCACACCCACTTCCCGCAAGTCGCTGCCATTTCGCATAGGCCGCCTGTTGTCTTTGCTTTGAAGTTTCCTCGGTTGTGGCAAAAGTTTTGATTGTCTAGCCACACACTCACATGCCGCAAACATGCTACACGGAGATTAAATATCACTTTAAATTGTCATTCATTTAGTCACATTCTGAACGCAATTGGGACCTATTTGTGAGACTTCAGCAAGTCTTAAAATGAATTTCATTATTTTTAGATTATAGGCAAATTGTACCACATATTTAGGTACTGATTAAACTGATATTTTTAAATATAAGTTGTAACATTCTTATATTCTTAAAAACCTTTTTATGTACACAGAGTTGCTAGGAAGTTCACAGAGTTGTGTACAAATTGAACAACATGTTATTAAAAAGTTTAAGACATTTTCTTTAACCATATTAATTAAAGATTATAATTTATAAGCAGCTGCAAAAGTTACATAAATGAGTTTATTGTACATTTTTAAATACATTAATCTATCCTTAATTTTCCCCAGTGTTCGTACACACATGCCGGCATGGGTGTGTTTGAGCCAACTCAAGTGGTTAAACGTAAAACTTTTTTAATTAGAGTTGTTTGCGGGCAGCGCATTGTGCACACAATTTCTTTTCGATCGTCTTGGGCGAATAGTTTCGGTGGACAAGGAACCGAAAATTTGATGCCGCGGGAGCGAAATTCCCATAAAATCGGCAGCCGTTGCTTGCGAGCGAAATAAAATTCATGAGCCCTTGTAATAAAAATGTCACAGCAATGCCGGCTACAAAAGGCAGCCATCAAGGGGGGTGTGTAGGGAGTTTTTCCCTTCTAGAACATAGACTGAGGGGTGACTGAGGGGGGGCCTTTTGGGGAGCAGCTGTCAACGCCGTCGCTTGACAATGACAATGGCTTAAACCGAGAGGGCCAAGGACCGCGGCGGGAAACGCATAAATTTCGCAGACTTCTTTTGTGCCCGGGCACCAAATTCAAATCCAAATTTTCACAGCAGTTTGCATTTATTTAATTTTACTATTATCAGAATAAAAAGGCTTTGCGCCTGATTAGAGCCTGCCGCTCGCCTAAATGTGCTTTCCCAAAAATTAAATGAAAACAAGAAAGGAAAGCTAACTTCGGGCGGAGCCGAAGTTGATATACCCTTGCAGAATACTCTGTAAATTATATTCTCCAAAATTATTCATATGATGTATTCTTAATATTTATACAAAATCCCAACTTCCTAACTTTAAAAACACCAAAGTTATGGCATTTCCCATCGTTCAGTTACATATATGGCAGCTATAGGATATAATCGCCCGATCCTTATGAAATTTGGTAGGTTGGATTGATTGGCTAAAAATAAAACCCATAGAAAATCCCAACTTCCTAACTTTACTAACACCAAAGTTATGGCATTTCCGATCAATCAGTTATATGGCAGCTATAGGATATAGTCGCCCGATCCTTATGAAACTTGGTAGGTTGGATTGATTGGCCAAAAATAAAACCCATAGAAAATCCCAACTTCCTAACTTTACAAACACCAAAGTTATGGCATTTCCGATCAATCAGTTATATGGCAGCTATAGGATATATTCGGCCGATCCCGGCCGTTCCGACTTATATACTGCGTGCAAAGGAAAGAAAGGTGTGTGCAAAGTTTCAATTCGATATCTTTAAAACTGAGAGACTAGTTTGCGTAGAAACAGACAGACGGACAGACGGACAGACAGACGGACAGACAGACGGACAGACAGACGGACAGACGGACAGACGGACAGACGGACATGGCTATATCAACTCAGGAGGTGATCCTGATCAAGAATATATATACTTTATAGGGTCGGAGATGTCTCCTTCACTGCGTTGCACACTTTTGACCAAAATTATAATACCCTCTGCAAGGGTATAATTAAATGACGCCCAGGCGGCGTTGTAGCAAACCTTCATTGACACAACGTGCAAATCTAATTTGGATTTCATCCCGCACCACAGCTTTCCCATCTTTTTTATAATAATGAGAATGCTTCAGACCCTTGATGGGTGTCCAAGTACAAAAACACACAAACAGCAGCACTTCCTGCAATCTTCCACCCTAGGCCGGGGAATATCCGCAGGATGTGTCTGCTACACATGGAAAAATATCATTGTTCAGCAATTTGGGTGCCTCCCAAAAATATAATTACCCATAGGCTTTGCCTTTATACACAATTTTCATCAAAAATGGCCCACACATACCAATCTTTTTGGTCACTTAATTGCTACTGTCTGTATGAAAACCCACTAGCTTAAATTATTCTAAAAGCTTTCATAATTTCATCAACAATTTTGGTAGCTCTTTACGGTTGAAGTATTAAATAAAATAGGTCAAATTAAAAAAAACAACACTCATTGATGGATTACTTGAATAAATGTTCTGTATTTCGGTCCTTTTTTCGCTGTGTTGTTACCCGTCAATGCGATTTCGTCAACGCAATCAACCGGAAAGACATCAACGAAACAGGATCGCGACGCCGGCGAAATACATTTTCCTGTTGTTTCTGCCAATTTTGCGGCTGATGCCTTTTTGCTTCCCTCGCTTTTTGTCCGCATTCGCCCGCTTTTCATCCTCCGCGATTTCAACGATTGCTGGCTCAAACATTCGGCACTCGATATACAGTTTGCATTATACAATATAGATGGCCATATCCCTGCTTTGCGTATCAATGAAGAAACCGTCTTTATTGCACATTTTCCAATGTGTACAACACGGCGTATACGCATTATACAGCATATATCGTTTAGCAGCTTACAGTGGAAAAGGTTTTACAAGACTTTTGCCATATGGAAAATGTTATTAAAAATATTCATTTTATATTTATGTTATAAGCAATTCATTTATCATTATACCCTTGCAGAGGGTATTATAATTTTGGTCAAAAGTGTGCAACGCAGTGAAGGAGACATCTCCGACCCTATAAAGTATATATATTCTTGATCAGGATCACCTCCTGAGTTGATATAGCCATGTCCGTCTGTCCGTCTGTCCGTCTGTCCGTCTGTCCGTCTGTCCGTCTGTCCGTCTGTCCGTCTGTCCGTCTGTCCGTCTGTCTGTTTCTACGCAAACTAGTCTCTCAGTTTTAAAGCTATCGTATTGAAACTTTGCACACACCCTTCTTTCCTTTGCACGCAGTATATATGTCGGAACGGCCGGGATCGGCCGACTATATCCTATAGCTGCCATATAACTGATTGATCGGAAATGCCATAACTTTGGTGTTTGTAAAGTTAGAAAGTTGGAATTTTCTATGGGTTTTATATTTGGCTAATCAATCCTACCTACCAAATTTCATAAGGATCGGCCGACTATATCCTATAGCTGCCATATAACTGATTGATCGGAAATGCCATAACTTTGGTGTTTGTAAAGTTAGAAAGTTGGAATTTTCTATGGGTTTTATATTTGGCTAATCAATCCTACCTACCAAATTTCATAAGGATCGGCCGACTATATCCTATAGCTGCCATATAACTGATTGATCGGAAATGCCATAACTTTGGTGTTTGTAAAGTTAGGAAGTTGGAATTTTCTATGGGTTTTATATTTGGCTAATCAATCCTACCTACCAAATTTCATAAGGATCGGCCGACTATATCCTATAGCTGCCATATAACTGATAGATCGGAAATGCCATAACTGATTGATCGGAAATGCCATAACTTTGGTGTTTGTAAAGTTAGAAAGTTGGAATTTTCTATGGGTTTTATATTTGGCTAATCAATCCTACCTACCAAATTTCATAAGGATCGGCCGACTATATCCTATAGCTGCCATATAACTGATTGATCGGAAATGCCATAACTTTGGTGTTTGTAAAGTTAGGAAGTTGGAATTTTCTATGGGTTTTATATTTGGCTAATCAATCCTACCTACCAAATTTCATAAGGATCGGCCGACTATATCCTATAGCTGCCATATAACTGATAGATCGGAAATGCCATAACTGATTGATCGGAAATGCCATAACTTTGGTGTTTGTAAAGTTAGAAAGTTGGAATTTTCTATGGGTTTTATATTTGGCTAATCAATCCTACCTACCAAATTTCATAAGGATCGGCCGACTATATCCTATAGCTGCCATATAACTGATAGATCGGAAATGCCATAACTTTGGTGTTTGTAAAGTTAGGAAGTTGGGATTTTCTGTGGGTGTTATATTTGGCCAATCAATCCGACCTACCAAATTTCATAAGAATCGGCGGACTATATGATATTGTTTTCCATTTAGAATCTGTCGTCGATTCATTTTTTTTATACCCTTGCAGAGGGTATTATAATTTTGGTCAAAAGTGTGCAACGCAGTGAAGGAGACATCTCCGACCCTATAAAGTATATATATTCTTGATCAGGATCACCTCCTGAGTTGATATAGCCATGTCCGTCTGTCCGTCTGTCCGTCTGTCCGTCTGTCTGTTTCTACGCAAACTAGTCTCTCAGTTTTAAAGCTATCGTATTGAAACTTTGCACACACCCTTCTTTCCTTTGCACGCAGTATATATGTCGGAACGGCCGGGATCGGCCGACTATATCCTATAGCTGCCATATAACTGATTGATCGGAAATGCCATAACTTTGGTGTTTGTAAAGTTAGAAAGTTGGAATTTTCTATGGGTTTTATATTTGGCTAATCAATCCTACCTACCAAATTTCATAAGGATCGGCCGACTATATCCTATAGCTGCCATATAACTGATAGATCGGAAATGCCATAACTGATTGATCGGAAATGCCATAACTTTGGTGTTTGTAAAGTTAGAAAGTTGGGATTTTCTATGGGTTTTATATATGGCCAATCAATCCGACCTACCAAATTTCATAAGGATCGGCCGACTATATCCTATAGCTGCCATATAACTGATTGATCGGAAATGCCATAACTTTGGTGTTTGTAAAGTTAGAAAGTTCGGATTTTTTATGAGTATTAAGAATGCATCATATGAATAATTTTGGAGAATATAATTTATAGAGTATTCTGCAAGGGTATATCAACTTCGGCTCCGCCCGAAGTTAGCTTTCCTTTCTTGTTTTTAAATAACAATATCTTAAAAATTGTTCAAAGGACTTAAAACCAATGGATTTTGTTTTGAAAAGTGATTGTAATTTATACTATTTAAAAAGCTTAACATAAAGTGAATTTTATATGCTATTAAGGCATTTGTCCCATTCAATTGCACGCAGGATATAAGTTGTTCAATAAAAGTAAAGCTTAGTTAAACTTTTGAACCACTGTGCGCCATTGAAGACAAACAATTTTCGTGGCTCTGCCGTTTCGTGTTTCTCGACCGCTTTTTTCGTATTTCGGTCAGGTCACATTTATGTTGTATACATTAATTATGGCTATTTACTTTGTCCACTTCGACTCATGCTGCCACAGCCAATTATGTGCACGAAATTGCTTATTATTGGATGCATAAACACTCATACTCGTGCACACGTCCTTATACACGCGTATAAAAACGAGTGAATGAAGGCGGTGAAACGGCAGGTTAAATGGTGGTCAAAGGGCCCATTCATTTCTGGCCTAAAAGGCCCATCAGCAGCCGTTCTAACAAGTAGAACGAGGAAAACGTTTCGGGTAAACAAAAATATGTCATGTTTACTCAGCGAGCAGTCCGAGCAAAAGTTGTTTTTCGGCTTTCTGTTTTTTTCCCCGTTTCAGCCACGTTTTGTTTATATTTCTAGTTGTGTGCTACTTTGGCAGTTGTTGTCATTTGTATATGGTCCAGAATGATGGATGTTATTATAATGTCGACGAGTAGGCTTAGCCGGCGCCTGTCATCCTGAGAGGTCACCGAAAACGCCTGACCCAAAAATCTCCAGTGACAGTTGAGTTGAGGCCACACAGCCTTGTAAGCTGCTTAAAAGTTAAAACAATTTAATAAAAATTAATGGCCACTGCACAGCAATGGGAAACTAGACTAGCCAGCACTGCGCTTTTCATGAACTATTTACCAACTTAAAGTACTGTTTTTATTTTCCTTCCCCTGGTAATTATACTAATTGGTATCATGGCGCGGCGGGCGAAAAAGCTGAGCTGCAAGCATAATGCGATAATTTATATTCCCTGGTGGGGAATCCTTTGAGCCACTTGCCAGATGGCCACTACTCGCTCGTTCTGTCTTTGTGGATGATTCCAAAGGGGAGATAATGCCCGACTCAATTTGATTAAAACAACACAGGGATAATTCTGACCATAATATGAGAACGTTGCCACTGCAAATTCGAATTAATTGCTGCCCGACAACTGAAGCAGCATTTTAAAGTTTACATGTCAGTTAGGTTCCTTAATGGCAACTTTATTAAAACAAAGTGCCCCCCTGGCATTTAAATAAATAATTAAATGTTGGCAATGAAATATCCATTTGCAATTATTTGTTTCCTTTTGTTAACAGAAATGAAACTGATTGAGCTATAAATTAAAGGTTTATTAGGCCTTCAATATAATCTTCAGTACTCGGCATTCTTAAACCGAATTTGTCAGGGTATTCATTACTTTCACTATTTTCCTCAGAGAAATTATCAATTTCATTACAAGAGGGACAATCGTCAGTATCTTTACTTTTCGACCAGTCCAAATAGCAAAAGAGCATCAGGATAATGCAGAAATGACAGAAAAGGACGATCACTGCAAAGAGTCCATCGGTGGTATATAGTTCTGCATACCGCCAACCTCGGATCAGTTGGGCATGGTACATGGTGAGCTGGGAAATTAGCATAAATTATAATAACGATAATCCAACAAAGTTCAACCGATCACCTTACCATACAAATAATCACCAAAACCAAGGAGGCAAAGGGATAAAAAAATCCATCGGCTGAATCAATCATCATAAAGGTCATTAGCAGAAATATGCTGACCAGAAATATCTGCATGCTGACCAGGAAAAGTACAGCCACATTAGCAGTCAAATCACAAGGAATAAAGGAACCAATAAGCACACAGGTCACCACGAGGACTGCAGTGATGATAAAGTATATCAAGAAGTGCCATTCATCACAATAAGCGGCAAATGTGCAAATACCAATGACCATTAGCTCTATCTGTAATCTGAAATGTGGTCCACGTATTCTCAGATGGAAACTTTTGCCAAAATATACTCACAATGAGACATAAGAGTACCCATCCAAGGATCGGCATATATCGAGCTTGGCGGATGAGCAAAAAGACAGCGAGAAGTGGAACTGAAATCAGCATACAACCAACACTCAGCCAGTACTTGTCCAAAAAGAACTTGGTTAATGGTTCACTGCATAAAAAACTGTTATAATATTAAATTAATTAGCTTTACTGACACTTACTAAGATGATACAACTTCCCATTGGACCAAAGCGAGCAATAGTAATACGGAGACGAGCAGATAAACCAGCACCATATACCTGCATCTGGATATGCTCTGCACTTCATGGGGCTCAAATTGCAGCATACTGGGGCGTGGCACAACAACAGAACGAGGTGGAACTGGCGGTGGCTGTGGTTTATTGTGAGCCCCAGAACTCCGGGAACTTGGCAATGCCATGTTGTGAATTAACACCCCAAAATTATATAGAGCGGAGAAAATGAGTTACAACAGGACGAAAAAAAAACACAAAAGAAACCTGACACGCAAAGCATTTGTTGCTCGAGCATACAACTCACTTTACTGCCACATCCGGCATTAACATCTGGCATTTTAAAGGGTATCTTCAGTTATTTTCCCCCATAACAATACCCCAAACTCCAGGAGATAACACACTCTGCGGGAATTTGCAGCCGTATCCAAATCAAATGATTACGGCGGCAACACATGACAGCCAGAAAGGGAGTTCTTTGAATTGAGTGAGGGGCTGCCTTGTTGTACTCGGTTTGAATAGATTTCCCGAATGATAGATGGACCGATTTTCAATGGGTAAATTTCAAGGATTATGGCGCAGGTTGATTTATCTACTTGAAATACCCATGCCCTTCAGATTTTTATATCGCTTTTGTGTAAGCGCACAACAATTTGTAACACCCTTAAATAAAGCTCATGTTCATGTATCTTAAATTACAGTCTTTTTTTCAACAAGTTCTCTTCCTTGGCCTTCCTTCTTAAATGCCCGAAATTTTTTATAAGAAACGTTTGCCTTTTCGCTGGAAAAAAGCACGCATTATTCTTGCGCTGAAAAATACTTCCCAGAATTCTCATGTTCTGCATTTGATATGGGCTTCCTGATATTTTCTTATAAATCCATTCAATCCAAAATCAACAAGAATGTAATGAGTATTCGGCCTCGAAGGGTTAAAGCCAAGATACACAAGAGTGGAGACAGATGTGAGAGCCAACCAACAGGGATACCATAAATTCGTTCCAGTAAACATTTTTGAATTGTTAAAAAGATTTGTAGGAAAACAAGACAGGCAAACAAACGCGCACACATCCAGCATACCCATATATATATATATTTATTTATATACACCCACAGTCGAAGCGGCTGCAAAGTTTTGGCCAAAAGTGCTAAAAGATGTGTGAAAGGCTGCGAAAGGCTGCGACGGAAGTGGGGGACAGATGGGGGTGAAAGGTTTTTGGGGAAAGCGCCTCGAATTACTTTCTCTTTGGGGCGTGGGCGCAGCTGTTGATGGCTCCTGGATCTTGGGCATTTTCTTTTTAATTTAGATTTGCGTGATGCTGATTCCTGAGCTGCGATATCACACGATAACTTTGCCAGGACTTCGACTTCAAAGCATACTCGCATTTACCACTCAATTAGCAGGCTGGGGATACTGCTCACTAATTTATTAATGGCCAATGTCAAAATTCTGCTGCCTTTAAATGACATTGAAAAATTGCCTAGCCGAGAGTGTGTGTGTGTGTGTTCTGTTTAATGGCCCGACCGCCTTTTTTCCCACTTACTTGAATTTCGGGGTTTTGAGGAAAACAATTTAGATAAGCAATATGCAAAACATGTGAGACTGCTGTTTGCTGGCGCATAAGTATATATTTTCTGCTGGGCTTGTTGAATTTTAAACTGCAGAAGGAGCAACTTAATCAGCAGAGATTTACGAGCCCTTCACTTACCAAAAAAACACGAGAGACGCATGACAGCCGTTTAAAATTCAAGCACCAACTATAAAAGGAAAGACAAAAGTCAAGACACCGATGCACTTAAGTGGTTGACCATAAAATATTTGGACCACTTCGAGTGGGTAATGTGGCCGTAACCCAAGGAGCCCCCGAAGAAGCCTTTTATGGGGCAGTTGGGCGTCTTAACATCAAGTATACGCCCTGCCCGCAGGTGTCCAGCAACAAATCAAAGACGGAGCCACAATAAAATCAAATAAAAGCAAGGCAAATCGAATGAAATAGTCGTCCCCAAATTGCATTAGTAGAAATCACACAACATAATGGCGCCGCGTTAACAATGTCCTTTTTGACAAATTTTGGGGCTCACCTGAAAGGACATCCACTAACTCGGTTTTCCTTAGCAATTACTATGTGTTTTCTCTATCACCTTGGTCGGTGTATTTCCTGTCGGCACAAAAACACACAGTTCAGCACTCACACACACACGAGATAAATGTCGTTGTCCTCCAGGATGCGAATGCGATTGCGATTGCGAGTTTGTTGTGGGCTTCGCGTAAAAACACACGGCTTTATGAATGAACAAACGGGTTCCGAAATCAACGGGTATTCCCCTTGAATTCTATTTGGCTCTTAACTTTGCGGCCAAAACACGTCCGACTCGCAGGCCGACGGGCGATTATCTGAAGCGTATGCCAGTCGTGGCCAGGAAATTACTGTGAAATTCAATTGCCAACTCCGGCGACCTGCGCACTGGCTAACAGCCAAAGAGAGTTTCTTGTTAACAGAGCCGTGGCGAGAGGCCGAGATTATGTAGGTTGACAAGAAGTTAAACAAACAAAACAAAAGTCAAGCTGTATCATAAATATAATGAAAAGTTTTTCGCCAGCAACAAGCGGGTGGATAGCTCATCTCCGCCTCCCCCAATGGATACTTTATTCTTCATCCAACTTAAATGTCAACACCACAGCACACACAAAACAATTTTGACACGTTCTCAGATCGATTCATTACTTCTTTTGAGTTTGACTTTTATTGGGTATCAATGATGCAGAGGTCTTAAAAAGGTCTTAAATATTGCAGACTTATTGTAAAATTCGGTAAGCAAAAATATCAAAAAGATACAGAACAGCAACACCTAATAATATCTCTTCCAAAACAAATTAAAATTCCATAAACAAATTTTTGCATGTCAAAAGTTTTTATGTGGATTTTTGTTTTGGGTGCTATTTTCCTAGCTTGAATATTAAGCTAAAATAAAATATATTTTTAATAAAACAGAGTGCCCCGCTTGAAGTTGTGATTGCCTGGCCTGAATAAAAACTAATCACAAGCGCTCAATGGCTGAATGTGCACCATTTTTGACAAATTGGAGATTACATATTTGTGCTCTATGGTCATAAATACTGTTATGAAGTTCATAAACATTTGTGAAACAACCTTTTGAATTAGCTGAGATTCAGGTGTTGAAAAGGACTGAATGCTTTTGAAGCTAAACAAAAAGGAACAGGTGAATAGGGTAAGCCCTGCAAGAGAAATAACATGTATTATCGTTAATTGTTTTCCTAGGAAATCAAGAACTTAATTTCTTGCCGTGCAGTCGTGTGTACACATAATTAAGAAATCGTGCTTACTCCACGCACTTTGATTCGGTTGAGTGCAGAGTTGAGAATTTGAAATGTCTCTGGCATGGCAAATAAACTGTTGACTTTGTAATCATTTCGGCATGTTTATCAAGTCGTTTATTGGATGGGGGATGGGGCCATGAAAGAGGGGACGTCCTGATTAGCGGCAATTGCGCTCTTTGCGCTGTTGTCCCCGTTTTTCCCCGGTTTTTGCCGCTAAGAACGCGACTTAGCCGCGGCAATTATGAAAATAAGCGAGTGCCTCTGCGCTGAATGGCTAATGCCAGCGACCCACTAGCACCGCCTCATTACCTCTAAAGTGGGCTCAACTGTATTGTTTTTGTTGTCTGCGGTGCGGTCTGCCGCGTGTCCTTTGCGGTTTGCGGCGTTGATTCAGGATTCACGACTGCGTGGGGAAATCCCCCGCCGTGGGGCAAATGGCAGTGCCCGAGCTCAGGTGAGGAAATTAAAAGTTAACTGCCACTTGAGGGGATGAGCACGAGAGCAGTACGCCCATCATATGCTCACTTTAAAGTATAATTTGTTACGAAATATTTCAGAGAATATGAAATGCCTGCGGTTAGAGCTTCCCAGTTGGTCTTTTTCGGCTAACCACTTTTTACTAGTTTTTAGTTTGCCATTTGTTGAATAGTTTTCCATAAATCTCATATATGTATATAAATAAACACCAACATAAATGCAATCTATCTCCCAAATCAATATTGAAAAAGGGATATTAAATAGGCGAAAATGCAAGTAAATAAAATTTAGCATGAGTTCAATATTTGCTCATTTGATTTAAGAGTCTAAATGGGAATTTAAATATTTCTGTGATTTTTACTTTGTTATTTCTGCATTTATTGACTTTAACGTCATATACTGACAGGCAAAATATTTACTTTCAGTCAGTCTCTTTTTTTTATCCATTACGGATTAAGCTGCATTCCTTTCAGCAGGATATGTGTGATGTGTAAGTTTAATTACCGCCGTATCTGAGAGATACGAAAGTATCTGCTGCCAAGTGGCACGCTTCACTGGCTCCGCAGGGAAGAAACTTATCGCTGCTTTTGCCGCATACTTGGCGAATCAGTTTCGCAATCAATAAGTAAGCAATAATCAGCCGAGTGGCGCCCCAGTTGAAAGGGAATACCTTTTGCGGTGAAAGTCCCCGATGTGTGGGTGAAACGCTCGTGCCACACCGTAAAACACCGTAATGCAAGTCAATGAATGTGATTGTTTGCCGGGAAGTGCAAAGTGTTGAAAGGACTCACGCAGAATGGCAGTCGGACTGGCAGGCGTTCAGACAGGATCCCACAGGAGTGCACTGCCACAGAGTGGCATTCAATTGCCAAGCGGCAGACAAGTGAATCAGCAGTCGAGCGGACAAACAAACAAACAAACAAGCGGGCGAATTCAGTGTAACGACCACAAGCCCGACTTGATAGCATCACTTGACAAGTCAATGGAACGGCTCCTGAATGCAAGTCAAGCGGTAGCAGCCTTCCACAAACAGACCAATGGTTCGGTGGCAATGCCAATCCGATCACATTTGCTCTGTGCACCTGATGCCAACACAAAGGCAGTGTATTCAACTTGCGATTGCTTAAAAACAAACTGATAAGCTCTTTGTAAGAGAACAATATGATAAGATCAGAGTGTATTAAACACTATAAACTCAAAAAAAGATGATTCTTTAAAACTTTTTTTTAAAGAACTAAGACTAATAAAGGTTTATTTTTATATATAAACATTTTTAATGAAATGGGGGAATCAATGATAGTTATAAAGCACAAGAATAAATTCTTACAAAAAATGTAGTAACTTTAAAAATTGGTAAAAAAAAAGTTTGAATAAAAATAAAATAAATAAAATTTGGAAATTGTATTGCGAAGAATTCAAAGTAATCACCAATAATTTTAAAATTAATTTAAAGCGAATTAGGAAGACTTCCAAAATCAACTAAAATATGAAAAAGAAATTGTGAATCTCGTAACAAAAATTATGATTTGTTCTGTTAAAAAGGCCCAGGCAAAATAAAATCATTTTAAGGTAGAAAAACTGATATTTTAAAACCCGTTAATGAAAATGTATAGAGTAAAACACCTTCATACATAAAGTACAACTTTGTGTGAAGATTTCACTAAGACCCTAACCAAAGCCCGTAAAACGTTTTGTAATCTAATTAATGGCCCTGCAGCAGATAATGGGCAAGTGTATTCATAATCCCTGGCAATTTCGCATTCATTAAAAGCCAATAAAAGTGAAAATTATAACGCTCAACTCCCCAGGATGAACCCACTCCGCTTTTCTAGCCAGGTGAATGGGCGACCCACTTCATTAATAGCCCGCGTGGGTGGCTCAGCGAGTAATGGAAGCTAATGAAATAACAATTAATTGAAAAAAGAATGAGTGTGTATACGGGAGATGGCCGGCCATCAGCAGCCGGCTGAGTTTCAGGGCCACGGGCAAATACAATTTGTTTTAATTAATTGAAGCCACAACCGCAGAGCTGGCCGGCCGAACCTGATTTAGATGAATTGCCGGCAGTTTGGGCGAAGCATTGGCCCGGCCATCGACTTAATGTCTGACTTGGCAGCCCAAATCCCATGGACAACATCGGATGCCACCGGATTTTGGATGCCGGATTCCGTATTCCGGATTCCGTATTCCGGAGCCTCCGGCCTTGGACGGCAATCAAGCGTGAAATGATTGGCAGCCAGGAGTTGAAATGCAGCCCCATCAGATATTCACATATGTCGCCCAGCACAACTATTAGCGTGGCTATCGATTAAATCCACCGCAATCCCAGAGTTCCAAAGTGCCAAAGTGCCGCAGCCCAGGGGCTGAAGCAAAGCGTGTCGTCAACCAGACGATTTGAGGACGGAGATTGTACTATAAGCATTTATTCTGGCAGCTACTTTCGAGCTCCGGTCTTCAAGCATTTAAATATGCCAATCGTAGGGTATTTTTTAAGGTACTTTTTGTGACTGTTTTGACAGCCCAAAAAATCATTCCAGCAAAGAAATCAAAAGGAATCAAAACCCTAAAGCAAATATGTGTATCTTTCGAATATTTATGAATTCAGGGTAAATGTAAAATTACCATTTTTGTTATAAGTTATAGTTCTAATATAATTAATTTTACATTTAGTTATTATAAAAAAGAATTGTAAGTCTAGTCAGTTTGCATAAAACAAAATCTTGGATTCGTAATTAGAAAAAATCCTGAATGATTTTAAGAAACCAAGTAAAGGCCACATTGCGTATGATTGATATTCTTGAGTACACTTTCGCAGTCATTAAACACTATCCTTCCTCGCCTGTCACAAACTGTTAGGGTATCAATTAGTCAGGAGCAGTCCACTCCCATTCAAAGCTCGCTTCTGGCAACGGAAAGTTGAACAAAAAACTTTGGCAAGCTAAGTTGCGCTTATGCTTATGTTTGGGCGAGTATGTAAATGCTGCCGGGGGCATTAGTATCGGTGTCTGCGGTTTCTGGGTGTGTGTATGTGTATCTGTGTCTGTGTCAAGTCTCTTTGTATGGGTGCGGTAAATGCGGGTGAGTTGGTGTGTGAACCACAACATGTGTCGTCGGGCGTGAACAAAAGTGCTAAGAAAATTACATTTTGGCCACATGGAAGGGAGAAGTTCTCAGCCAGCGGCAAAGACCTGGCCTAATGCCTTAATACACTTAAATTCGCTGTAAATCAGGGAACTCTCGACTAATTTTCTGGTGGCAAGGAACCACTTGGCCCCACGAATCACAAGTTACTTGATCCCCACGACAACAGCAACATGTAAGTCAGTGGGTTAAAATGAAAATTTTGAAATAAACGAGCTGCATGCCACAGAAGAACGGATGAATTTTTATGCATTGAAAAAAATGTTGTTATTATTATAAAATATTTTATTTTACAGTTATATTTTTTTTAATGCATCAGTTTTCAGACTTGTAGAGCTAGATTACAAAAATGATCATACATATTTAAAGCCATTTCGATGGTGTTTTTAATATACCAAACATAAATATAGAAAAAAATATATACCCTGATAAAGTTACAAATTAAATATTCCCTCAGCTGCATAATTATCTTATTTTTTCCGAGTGCTGAGTGTCCGGAGTGAAAGCGTCCCCTTCCGCTTTGTATTTCTCCTGGGTGCTGCTCCTCATGTCCTTATGCAAAATTCACATCCACAACAATCGCCATAAACTTTTTCTCCCCGCTTTTGTTCCAGTTACAGCGACCGACCAAAAAAAAAATATGCAAAGCATGAAAAACGCGCCAATATATATCGCAGCTCGGAAATAATGCAATTTGTGTGTGAACTTTTTAACGCACTCGTAGTTTTTTATACCCACTCACACTCGTGAACTTCGAGTTTGAAACGCGAAATTCCCAAACATAAATATTTACGTACGAAATCGAGTCGTTTTTTGAATGGTGGGAAAAAGGCGGAAATCGAGGAGCTCGGGAAATCCTGCTCCTCTCACGAACAACAGACAACTGAGGACACGAGCACCAAGTTGGCCAAGTTAAGAGCCGCGAGTCCTCTCATCTGTTAGCCAACAGTCGCTCTTAACTGACAGAACTGACTGTTGCTGTTACTTTATGTCTCCTATTGAATTATTGAAATCAAATTTAGTGCTCTTCCTAGCCATATGTGTGTCACTAAGAAAGCATTATTAAATTTCCATGTTCAGAAATGCGTGCGTAATTATATTGTAGTCTTAAACATGGCATACTTTTCAGCTGCGGTTGTTAATTATTGTATGCGGTCGCAATCAGAATGTCACATCTAAAGTGAAGAACATATTTCTGGCTTATCGCTCGTTCGCTTCACTGCCTCCAACAAATGCGGCCCAATTAATTGAAACTTTAAACAAATGACCGCGAAAAAGCTGGCACTCGGGGCTGCGACACACCGTGAAAAAAAAACTATTTACCATTTTTATCAGAGTGCCAAAAAAAAACGCTTCTCAGCTTAATTTAAATTGAAAATAAAATATTGATGTTTTATGTTACGTTATGCTGCACACTGCCAATTAAATTTTTGGGCGAGCTTTTGTGGTGTCCCACGGAATATTTAAAAATTTAATAAATATAGGGGAGTATTGTAGGAACTTGAATTTTAAAAATACATAGAAGTTTATGTTCAATTCGATATAATATTTTAATTCAACTTAAGCAGGGATATGTCTGTAAAGGTTATTTTAAATTAATAAATATTAAATGAATATGATTATAAGCACTGGATAAATGTATTGAAATTGTTCAGCTGTTTTGACAAAATGAAAGAAAAACGTATACGTGATATCTCAAGAAACATTAATTATATTCTTTAAAGATACAGGTAGTCGAAAGTACGCCATAAAATATTTACGGTAATGAAATACTGCGAGAAATCATAAAAAATAGTCTTGATATTCCCTTTATATATGACTGACATTAAAGAGCTTTAAATATGCAAAACTACCACCTTCGCTGGCACTTTTCTCGGTGCACTCATTGTACTTCGTCGCATGTCAAATGCATATTTTACTATTAAGCGCCACCGTTGTTGTCCTTGTCGTCCTGGCTGACATTGTTGCTGTTGCTGTTGTTGTTGCTATCCTTGTGCGCTACTTGGGACGCAGTTGTTAACGAAAACGGATTCCGGAAGCCGAACGACCGAACCGATACGGATATAAGTGCACCGTGTACTGCAAAGTTCAGGTTATGGGTGATGGGGGTCGACCATTCTTGGTCGAATGACGCAGAGTGTCCGGCAAACTCACGACTCGAGGTGGCATCTTCACGTACACACGTTGATGGGCCACACACACACATACACACACACACTCACTTGGCACACAATTTTGTCGCCTCTCCAGAATTTGACGTTTTTTACGATTTCCACGTTAGTTGACCCCGTATCCCGCGCATTGTCGAGCTGCTCCTCCTACTTGACTATTGATTTTTACTTGGAAATAAATTGGTTTCGTTTGTCTGTCTAGCTATGCCTGTTGTCACTCCGTATTGGTATGTCCAAGGAATGGGCGCCCGCACTTTTCGGCCCCAAAACTTTTCTTTGCCAATTATTGTTGAAAATTATTTTTCATTTTGCCAGCACAAGCATCTCCCGGCATCTCTGGTCTTTCATCCCCACCATCGACTGGCCATCGCAAATGGCCGGAACTATTGTTATTAATACAGCCAGTGAATGTTTTTCTTTCCTCGTTACTCTTATTCTTTTTCTTATTTTTTTTGGCTGCCGGAAAAATTGCACACCAAATGAAAAGTGAAAACTGAAAAGTGAAAAGTAAAGCATTAAAGTTGGATAGTCATGGTCCCTCGCCAGCTGAAGAATGTTTAAGGAAATTTCATTTCCCGGGAATCCCTATAAATATGACTATAACAAAAGGGCTCCCACACCGGCCATCATTTTGCTAGCTTCAGTTTTTTTTTTTTGCTTAATTGAAATGCTCCAGCCCGTAACGGGTTTTTCACGGAAAAGGGAGTCCGGAGTGGGCGTGGTCCGTGTCATTTTCAAGCACTCGCTCGCATATTTTGGCAGCTACGTGACACATGCCGTGACCATGTTCCTGGGAGCTGCAAACAAAGTAATTTTTTTTATTCTTTTCGCCGTTGTTTGGCTGCTTAAATATGGACATGGTGGCCCCTCAATAACCCTCGCTTGTCCACTCCCGAATCCCGACAAATAGAAAAGGTATCCCTATCCCAATTCCTATTCCCCACAAACGTATTTACATTGAAACGGTCACAAAAGGGTAGTTGTGTTTGTCTATCCTTGTTTTGAGGGGACAGAAAGTGGGCCAGTCATCGGCCCAAATGCGCTACAGTTGGTTGGTTGAGTTATGGCCAAATAAAAGACGAACAGAGGAAAGGCTAATTCGGTGCATAGTTTATACTGACCATAAAAGTAAATTGCACGGCTAGTGAGCTTAGGGTTATTGGCCTATTTGTTTAATGCCCTTATATACGGGCTAAATTTCCGGAAAGTGCACCGGCTTATCTGCACCCGCATTACTCAAAGGCTTAGCCACTGCCATTGGCGGCTATCACTCGAACCCAACTGATTTTTGATTAAAAGACTGGCTTTTATTGGACGTTCAAGAGTACATAAATTAGTTATTTAGATTTTCCACACCATAAGGCCAAAACCTTTAAATGCTTAGAGGCACGCGGTATTATTTAAACTTTACAAACTGTTTATGCATGTTTGGCCTTTTACGATTTCGCTCAAATCTCGCATTCATTTAAAAATTTATTGCCGTCGCAGCACAAACGGCAGATCAGAACCGAGCAGACTTCCCGTTTACGACTTGCCACATGGACGACAATCGCCGGGAGTAAACAGCAGGATGCGGATACTCACAGCGGCAGCTCACAAAAAACAATTCCGGGCGACCACGAGCGAGGTGAACCGGCAAAAAAAAAAGAGCCACATTTCCACAACGCATTTATAATTAGATTTTCAGCAAAATGATAAATAAAAGTTTTTGATTACACAGCAGCTTTGTGTTGTTGTCGCCGGCAGTGGCAGAAATCTGAAGCACCTGTGCCTCAAGTGGCGACCGCAGATCCGCAGATCCACAGATATATAATATAATGGGTTGACATTAGCATAAGCGTTGTTAAAGACCGAAATTGAAGCCCGAAATTCGTGTGGAAACAATGGCTCTGGGGGGTCGTCCTTTCACTGGCTGAATTTTATAGCAGTTCACACATCGCACATATTCACGCTCCTTGCGTCCCAATCTTTTTAATTAACTACTCATATCCGGCGATGAGCCACTGAGCGTGCCCGCCTAATTGATATGAGAAGCCCGAATTCGGAGTCCTGCGATTTTCCCCTCCAAAAGCCAACTCGCTTCAATGGCTCTGTGTGCGTGTTAGCCAAGTCAGTCGTTCTACTCCTGCTCCTTCTACTGCTCCTTCTGTAAGTGTCTTAATGAATTTCCATTTCCAGCAGACACTCATTCAATTCCCGCCCATAAAATCGCAGCCAAAAGCAGAAATTAACTTGCCTCATGTCAAATGTTAATGAGCAGCGAAAGCACAGTGTTTTCGTCGCCCAATTTAACTGCTTTTTTTATGGTGAATATGGCTTAAGTTTATGAATATTTTATTTAAGGAAATTAAATATTTTTAGGTATTTTATTGGCTAATTAAACATATTGGTTATAACAGTCCCTACCTAATTCAAGTTACTTTTTTGTTCACTTCTCTTTAGTTACTTAAACTCCAGGTTTCCTACAAACTTTTTTACACTTAAAGAATTATTGGAAAACTTCAGCTTAAGTCCCATTTAATCTTTGTTATGTGAAGTCTTCCAAAGCCTTGTAAAATAAGGCTAAATTTACTTACCACCAGCACATGTGTTAACATACACAAAATGAAACTGCAGACTTGTTTTGGGTTCAAAACAAGTTTAACAGCAATTTCTTTACAATTTCCTAGGTTATTTGAAACAAAGTCTCCCTCTTGAAGGTTTTGCTTGCGTTCACCTTGACCTTCATTTGTATAGAAAGTTTGTTTCGCTACCTTAGACTTAGTTTTTGTATTCCAAAACTAAAACTTTTGAAAATCAGCTGCAGTTGGAACTATAACTTTGGAACCACTGTTCACAAAATAAGAAGAAGTTACGCTCTTTGCAGTGTCGCCATTAAATATTCAGTATCAAGAGCGAGGCATTGTCTCTGCTTTAGGCCAACTAAAATCTATTCTATCCTGCTAATTAATTCTTTCCCAAGCAAATTACATAAGGCGCAAATAAGTTCAATTAACAACAGCGGATGCTGGATGGCTTTAATCGTTCGAAATGGATTAACAAATCATGCGTAGACTTCTTGGGCAAACTTAAGACTAAGACTAATTGGTGATCCTGATTTAGATCTGTTGGGCGCGGACTTGACGATCGGCCAACTCCTCGGGAGTGGGATGCTCCTGGATGAATTGGATGGAGCGCAGGATTGCCTCTGGGATTGGTGGGGGAGTGGGCAGGAGGTTGGACTGTGGGTGGAAGCCGAACTCATCGGCAGTGTAGATCAGCTGGACGGGAACGCCCTCGGGAGAGGTGTAGGAGAAGGAACCGCGAGCATAATGTCCAGCCTGACCCTCCTCCTGGATCTGGAGACCACTTTGTTGTTGGACATCGTAGGCGTAGGTTCCATCGGTGTCCTGGTTGGCCAGGAACTTGGTGATCTTATCATCGTTCAAGGGGGCAGCCAGGGCACATCCGAAAAGGGCGACGACGAGGAGCTGTTTTGGATTGGTCCAAGGAAGTCAATTAAATCGCTGCAATCACAACTTAGGACTACTATCCACTGTCCACTTACGAGCTTGTACATGTTGCTGCTGCTAGTTTGTTGACTGAGAGGCTAATGCTGTCAATCTGGGCCCTCGATTGACTATTTATAGTGCTGCGATGGTCAAAGACAAAGCCAATATGCAGACTCCGAATATGCAAACAAGTCGAGCATGCAGAGCGACCCATATTTCGCCCAATCGAACTGCTTTTGGCCACACGTTTTGAGTCATTAATGCAAGACATTCCCATAGTGGGCGAATGGCGATTGCTAGATACTCTTTATAAATAAAAGGGACTGTTTTTAATTGAAATATATAAATATAGAACGTACTTGATCTCTAATACCTAATTTATTGCTAATAATTAAAATATATGTATACATTTAAATTGAATAGGTTTATTAAATTTAATTTATTTTATATTAATGGAATGGCTATTATTTCTCAGAAATCTTTTTACCGCGTAATTAGGTCATTTAAGCTCAGTCTATAATTAAAAGCTAAGAGCATATATTTAAGCCTGCTAAGTTTATATAATTTAAATCTGCAAATCGGCTGCCATACTAAGTATACCCATTAAAATCAGTGACTTGGGTGGAGCTGATGACACAACCTCAATGCATCAAAATCAAAATCAAAGTCGAATGTTGCTCTTCGGCAAACACCAACAATGGTAAATTATCAACAACAAATAGCAGCAGCAGCACAACAACAGCAACTACTTGTTAATTTAATCAACTTAACAATGATATTTGAAGTTACAACATTTCTCGAGCCCGAAACGCGAATCAACTTGAATTCGAAGGGCCAACTAAAATTTGCATAAAACAACCGCCCAACAACAAATGCCAGTGTGCATTTATTAATTTCTGATTGAACTTCCCCGTCGTGAATTGATATGGATATAGTCAAACCAGATCTGCACACTTGAAGGGAAATCTCAAGGGGTAAGTCGCTGCGATAATGCATGTGGGCGATGCACATAGAAAAAAGGTTTTTATTTGCTTATCATATGTTCCTAAAATAATACTTTTTTAAATTAAAGTCATAACCACATAAATTATCAGTTCGAAAATTGGTTTATGTAATTATTGACTAGATTTGTTGAAGTGATAAACTTGTTTTTCTCACACTTGTAAGCGAATTAATCACTTTTGCCTTGCCGAGGGGATTACCCTTAAGTTTCTGTTCAAATGTATATTAATTTTCATATTTACCACAAAAAGCGATGCGGGGATTACCATGAAACGTTTAAAGTATTATAAATATCATATCTTATTTTAAGATTTAGTGTGCCATGGAGATGACTTACTTTCCCACCATATTGCCGATATATATATTTTCTCCCCGTGCGATGGCTTAAGGCAGGGGCCATATGCTCTCGTCTCGGCAAAGGCATTCATAGTATAAACAAGCATATTAAATTGTATTTTTCTTTTATTACATTATTATTATCTCTGGCAATAAATGTCAACGTCAGTCGAGCCGTTCACGGGGACGCAGAGGAGACGGGTCAGAGGACAGGACGAAGGACCTCCGACCAGCCCGGGAGCATGTTGATGTAAATGTATGAGCGTCTATCTATATATATACAGTGTGAGTGGGTGTGGGTGTGCCACCGCCCCCCGATGTTCTTTCTGCCGTTTGATGGGCACTGGCTGTTCAGATGTCGGGATGTTGGCTGCTTTCACTAGGCAAACAGACATGACCCCTCCACATCCGAACACGAGGCAGTCTGGACAAGATGGATGCGGATGCGTATGCTATTGCTATTGCTATTGCTATGGATCCCAGGGCTGGTGTGGTGACCTACACCTTCCTGTCGTAGGGCATGACCTGGCCCACGGACACCACTGGGGCAGCAGCTGGCTGGAGGTACTGGTTACCCTGCTCCGGCTCCTGACCATGTCCATGTCCATGTCCATGGCCGTGACTGTACTCCTCTTCCTCCTCCGGGTGGTTGCGGTTGTACTCCAGCGACTTCAGGATGGCCTCCGGAATGGGGTGGGGTGTGGGCAGGTGCTCGCCCTGCGGCTGGAATCCGTTCTCATCCGCCGTGTAGGTCAGCTGGATGAGCTGACCCTCGGGGGTGTAGTACTGCGATGAGCCGCTGGCATAGTAGCCACCCACTCCCTGCTCCTGCTGCGCAATCCCGTTGGACGTCTCGAACTGGTAGTTGTAGCTCCCATCCTCCTGCTTCAGCTCGTTCACGAAGCTCCGGATCTCGGCATGGGCATCCGGGGAATCGGAGGGACGAGCCTGTGCTCCGAGGAGCACCGCCACGGACACGGCCACAAGTACAACGACGCTCTGCAATCACATGATTTGTTATTATTATTGTAGCCCTTTCACAGGGACTTTGTCTTTGACTTACGATCTTCGACATTTTCGCCTGGCTTAGGTTGAGATTTGGTTTATGGTTTGTTTGCTGGTTTGACCCTAAGAGCTAAGCTGTGTTTGATGCCTCGGTAACCTCGACCCGGCGCTTTTATACCCATCACAGAATCCAAATTGATCTGCAACGAAAGTGAGGAAAGTGGTGTGCAGCCATTAGACCTGATGGTGATGATAATCGGGGGAATGGGGAATGGGGAAGGGGACTGAGGGAACTCATCACATATGGCAGCTCATTTCGGATTTCACAGCCGTGAGGCAGCAACGGTTGCAACGCCAATTATCTCGACTCTAGGTGGCTTCCCCAGCAAATGTTCATTAAAAGTTTCGAGTGAAAACGAAACCTATCCAAACTGACCACCTGGCCGACCCTTCTCCACTCCAATCCCCCGCCGGTCAAGAAACTCTTGAGTAATTAAGTGTTTGTGTTAATTCATTAATTATCCACGGCCAAGTTGCTCGTTCGCATTTTACGAAATCTGTAATGGATGCGCTGTTCCCAAACATTTATCAGGCCACAGAGCATGGCATAATGCCGTCGGATCGCGATAAGTGAACACATTAAGCATATATGTATATATGTGCATATGGCTCGTGCTGAATGGATTGGATTGGATTGGTGTGTGAGCATGGGGCGTGAAATGGCCAACGGAGCTCCTCTTTCCCCAAACAAATTATTGCTAATTTTCCCCCACTCCCAAAGGCAGATGCTAATCGATCAGAATTTCAAAGCAGTCTGTCCATAACTCACCACAAAATGAGCCTGAATAACTGGTTGCACTCATAAATATTACTTAATGAATAGTGCTGCGACTGCATGTTGCACAAAATACAAAATATTAATTTACGAAATTGCATAGTTTATGTTTTATAATGTCAAAAGAGGAAGATTTATGATAATTGTGGAAATGAAATTCAAGTAAAGATATTACACTCTTAAATTTACAAATTTTTACTGCATACAATTCTCTCTTTATAAAATATAATGAATTTATATTAAAAATTTTATTTAGAAGACCAAAAGAAAAGAAACTAGGAATTACACAAATTTTCCTACGATAGAAGAATATTCCATTCTCTGTTATGTTGTAATTTTAACTATAATAAATGATTATATAATACTAAGAGTTTCTCTTTTATAGCCAGTTCAGTTTATATTCTTTAAATACCTTCTTGACAGTAAAGCTCTCAAACAGAATTCATAAACGTCACATCCTTAAAGTTCACGAATTTCCCGCATAATATATATGTAAAAATAATCGCATTTTCATGATGCCCCAAAAGGCCATATTTCTGTCGTTATGCTCAGAAAAGCTGTGAAAGTGCATTAAAATTGCATCTGATGCACAGACGTCATAAATAAGCCAATATAATTTTTGTCGTTATTTTTCCTCTGACATGTACACGCATGTTCATAAATATTCTGCCAGTTTGATACGTTTAAATAAATAAAATATACTTCTGAGTGCCTAGCCCTCCGATAATTTAATTCAAGCTTGGATATAATGAAAGCCAGCAAACAGCAAAGATACGACATAAATAGAGACCCACTGTTAAACTTTTATTTGGTTTTATTTGTCCAAAGCTTTTATTGCATCGCCTACGAGTCAAATCAATTAGTAGTGCGATGTTATGGCATATTCACGCATTCAAATGAATTGTCAAGAGATGCGAACCATTCAAAGTTGGTGTGACTGCGAGAGGAAACGGACTTGAAACATGCAAATTGAATCAAGTTTTTGATTAAAAATCCATCAGCCAGCCTTAAAAATTGGCCACACCAGAATTTCATATACATATCTGTCTGGCCAAAACAAAAAAAATAAATAAAATGGATGAAAAACCAATTAATTGGGTTATTCAATGAAGCCGTGTGCTGATTTAAATTGAAGCTACAAGTGCGAACTGACCGAAATCCCAGCCACTAACAAATTTCCAAAGCGAATCGAAATGAAAGTTGCAACTACAAGCAATTAGCAGACCCATTTCATATCAAGCGATTGAAGGTCGTTGCGGCAAGATATTCGAAAGTCGTTGACTTTGTTTGGCGGCAATCCATCCATCCATAAAAAAAACCCCCCAAGGGCCGACCTTCCACGCCCAACGCCAACGCTTTCTGCTCGGATTTCTGCTCTAAGACGTTAGATAGGGTTACATCTTCGGCAGAATCGGATGGGTTTGGACCCGGGTCTTGGAGATAGCCAACCAATGAATGAAACTGCATAAACGCTCCATAAAAAGTGGCCAGACAGTCTGCAAGCGTCGCTTGCGTTGACAGTGTATTAATTAATTAAAATCGCTAAATGTAGCCGATGAGTGAATGTAGAGCAACGGATTGGCCATAAAAATTCAAATGCCAATCGCTTACCTGCCCGAAGTAGACAGAGAGAAAGCCGCAGCAGTATTGGTTGCTGGGAAATGTGTTAAATATTAAACACTCACATTAAAAATTAATAAATTCTTGTTTATTATAACGAAAAATAGTTTACATATTTTACTTAAGACATTAAGACTTTTAAAATCAACATATATTCTCCTATGGTCAATATTAATTATTATCGGATTTATTACACAATTTTGTTGTAAGTTTTTTGTTGTAGATTTTGGTAGGAAAACTATCAGATTTGAAAAACAACCTTTTAAATTTTGAATTGAGTTTATTGATTTTCTATTAAGTTGATTAACTCTCTTGATTATTAGCAATCTTTACTTTAATTATTTACTTAATTTTTTGTTTTCGGTGGTATGTAAAGACTTTCATATTGACATTGTTGGAATATATACATATATTTAAAAGGGTTGATACCTAATTTTATACGCATTAAATACCTAAAACATTATTAAATATTTGGGGAATATCGCGGAATATGTTTTTAATTTTTCCAGACCATTCATTTACAAAATAAAAAGGAATATTTTTTTAAGTAATGAAAAGTTTGTATTCTACTAGAAATTAGAGTACATTTTTTTCTCCGTGCAGATGCGGCAGTGGTCGTTAAATAAATTTCCAAAGACATGCCCAAACTAAGGCTAAAATCGGAGATACGCGCGCTGCGCCCGAACGACCTTCGGCGGGACTGGATGGGACCAGTTCCAGTCTGGGACGGAGTGGACGGGAAGAGTGGCCGCCACCGAATGTGGGTCAACTGCTGTGGAGCAGGTGAGCGTGAGGAGCTGGTCAAGGAGTCGCTGCTCCACAGCGAGTCCCCTTTAATTCCCCCTTTATTTTCCGCTGGTGCTTCTTGTCTCCGCTTAATGCGCGCGAAGATGGATTGATGCCCTAATGGATGGATGGAGGGGGGTCAGTAGCTAGAGGAGAGGGAGGAGCAATGGACAGGATGGTTGAGAACAGCGGAAGCGGCTTAAGGAAAGGAAACGCCATCGAATCGTAACAACTTTTGCTTTCATTTAAAGCCGCCCAAGCGGCACTCACCGGACAATTGTGTCGACTGACCAAAGAGAGAAAAAAAAGCCAAATTGCCGAACAGCCGGTTTGGGGCATAAAAGCCGAAAGTAACACCAAAAAGGCCAGAAAAACAGAGGGCAGCAAAAAGCAGATAATGCTGCTTCTGATGCGACATCGTCCCCCAGCACATTCACTTTCCTCCTTCCCATTCGTGCCCCCAAATTGAGGGGCAGTCGCAGACGCAGTCTGGTTGCCATGTACTTATAAAAGGCCAACACAAATCTTGTAAGGGAAACAGCCAGCGCCCCGAGTCAAGCTCTTCTTGTTGCCGGCCAACTGCCTTTTGGCCACTTTAGAGATGGCAGACCGACACCAACACCTTTAATATGGCCCACATAAAAGTGGATACCCAATTGGGCAAAAAGTGTTAATGGAAGTATTTTGTAAAGTTCTTTTATGGCCAAATAAAGTTCCAGCTGATTTACATTTATAGATCTATTTTGTATGTACCATTTATACTAACTCATATAAAATTGAGTTAGAAATGCGTGTGATTTCCACAAATTGATAAAAAATATTACATTTTTCGATCTTTTTATCAAATTGTAAAATATATTTTAAAAAAATACTAAAACAATTAAAAGGAATTTTATTGAAAAAAAGATTAAACTGAAATCTATTCTTAAATATACATTTTAGGCAAATTTGCAGAGAGTTGTATAACATATTTAATAATGTATGTCCAAAGCAACAAAAATTTAACGAAATAAATAAATTGTAATAATTCATTTTATATGTGTGATGTATAATTTCACTTTATGTTTTGAAATATAAACCATAGTAAGAATCTTATATGATTTTAATTTCGACTTTAAAATGAAAATTAAACTTTTAGATGACTTGATTGGGTTCTGTGACTGCTATTATATACATTTATTTTTATTTCTAATTTTTGTAAAAATCAATATAATATATTTTTGAAATACCTACAATTCTATATTACTTATACTGAAAATTCAGCCATAAATTCCCAACTAAACAGGCTTACCCTTTGGTTACCAGTCTAATTTCGTATTTCCCCTCTTGGCTCGTGTTCCCCGTGAGTCACGTCATCGGCGGCTCATCGCAAGTTCTCTTATCAAAACTTAATACAAACTTGCCGCTCCGCTGTCGATAAACTGTCGTACTTTCGGACAGTCTGCTAAAATGTTGGGCCGCGGTGGCAAGGTCGTTCGTCTGCTGCAAAGTTGAGGTTGCCTTTTTCATTTTTGGGCGCGCTCGGTGATTTTGTAATAAATGAATCCGTTGACCTTAGCATGTGAGGTTCTTAATCGATTTCGCCGATTTTGTGAACGATTTATTATAAACTTTCGCATATGATTGGGGTAAAGGACTAGGCGTTACATTTAATAAATGATGCTGCCACAAAGCCAGGCACTTTAAAATAATTTGCCAGTTCATGGGACCCCAAAAAAAAAATACCTGTCCCAGGAAATAAAGTGGACTCTTTGATGGGGCAACTACAAATTGCTCTAACTAAACAATTACCGTAGGTGTTAATGAAAAATTAACCCCCTGCCACCAAACTCGGAATTGATTAACCGGCTGACCACAGTTTGAACAAAAAGGAGCATAAAGTTTATGGCCAAAAAAAACTATCTCACAGTCACACCGAAAAAATGTATCGACGGAAGCGTCTCCAGCGGGCGATTTTTAGTGGCAATGTGTGGGTTTAGCTTTTAGTATGTGTGAGGGGCAGTTCATGTTCAATGCTGCAAATTATACGCGTTTTCGGCGACTGCGACGACTGCGAGTGCTTTTGGCCTGGTCCAAAATGATTGGCGTGCCAAAATGCTATAAATGCGCCGCCAGGCCAATTCAGTCACATTCATTCTCGTTGCGAGTTCACAGTGACAACAAGTCAGTTCGGCCCAACCCAATTAAGTCCACAAAAAAAAATGAACAAATTCGTAAGTGGAGTAGGAGATGGGATGCCCCCCAAAACTAACAAGTATCCTTTGGCCCACAGTTCGTCCTTGCCGTTGCCACTTTGGCCTGCGTTCAAGTTGGAGCTGATTCCTTTGATGCGGCAGCCGAGACGAGGGAGTACAAGAGCGATCTGAAGGAGGATGGCAGCTATGCCTATCAGTACCAGACCTCCAATGGAATCGCTGGTCAGGAGTCGGGCGTGGGCGGATACTATGCCAGCGGCTCCAATGCCTACTACGCCCCCGATGGCCAGCTGATCCAGCTGACCTACTCCGCCGATGCCAATGGATTCCATCCCGCCGGCGCCCATCTGCCCACCCCTCCCCCCATCCCGGCGGCCATCCTCAAGTCCCTGGAGTACATCCGCACCCATCCCCACCAGGAGTCGCGTCAGGGTCAGGGTCGATTCTAGACCACGTGGGGCAACCACATGTTGAGCGTTATTCGAGCTAGGCTTAAGTCATTTGCAAATAAACATCGTTTGAGTCTTCAAACATTTCCATAAACAAGTCGAAGTCGATGTTCAATTTGGATTAACAGTGCACAAATTAGGGCATTGCAAAAGATTAGCTAATTGGTTAATTCGCTGGCTTGGGATGTTTTTGCATTCGTAAGTTTCTCTAAATTTAAACTTAAGCATGTGTATTTTAATTTATACATAGGTGGGTATTTTAAAACTCTTATAACGGGCCCTTTTCTTTGCAAATTTATATAACGAAATACAAGAGCCACTCCCTGCAAATTACATTGCCTCAATTAAAACCTTTTTATTTCATTAATTATTTTTAAAGTTCCATTAATAAATGGTTTAACAAGACAGAGGAATTTACTAAAAATAAACTGTTTTTCGAAGTAAGGTAATAAATTTTTAAACAAATCAATATGTGAATATGAAATTGTTAATATATAAGCTAGTCAAATTCAATTTTGAATTTGAATAATTGGCGCCGATAAGTTCTTTGAAGTCAACGAGGGCTACATTTCCGGTTATCGTAAAACATTCACAGCGCATTGCCAGTCACTGCGAAGCACAGACAATGCATATATCGATATCTATCTTATCGTTACTCTAGTGAGCGGGAGTTTTAAAATTAGTGTAATTTATAACTTAATGAATAAAATATCATTTAGTTATTTTATATTTTAAGCACATAAGTAAACGGCGCTCTAGATTGTCAAGACAAAATTAACAAAAAATGTATATTTATAATATGCTAATAGCAGTTTTAATTCATTACAAAATTGATTGATTTTTTTTTTAAACACTTGCTTAACATTTTTTATCACCGGACAAAATTGTGTTTCCAACAATTGTAGCTGTTATTTAAACATAAATTGGCGCCTACTTGCTTGTTGCTGTATACTGATCGTAACTGTTAACAGCGGCTCTGTTATTTGGAGCTGGTTCGCGAAGCGGTTAGCAGAGCTCGACAGTGCTGTCCATTTGTCTATTTCTCAAACATTACTTTTGTTTTTCGAAAATAGTTTAATAGGCTTTGAAAGTTTTGTTTAATTAATTTGGAACTACAGTCATATGCAGAAAATACATAAGTGTCCAAATCATTCCTCACAGTACAACCTAAATTGTTGTTGTTAATATTTATATACATTTATAGATCAATCAATATGCCAAGTGCATATACAAAAAAATGACAAAATGATTTTTTAAAAATAAATAAAATTACGTATACGAAATTTTACGTATACGTATTATATACGTATACGTATACGACCACAAAATAATGCAATACGTATACGTATATAATACGTATATAATACGTATACGTATTGCATTATTTTGTGGTCAAATGGTAACGTGAATATTATGGCAGTTACTTAGTGAAAGTTTAATAAATTAAGTAAAAATTAAATTTAATTGGTTTTTTTATATGTAATTTAAGTATTTATTTGTCATTTTCTCTGACTTTTTTAAACGATCTGAACTGTCTTCAAAGTCGCCTCAGCACTGTCGCTCAGACAGAGGCGCGCGCAATCGTGCGCTCGGCGGAAAATCAAACCGCGCAAGCTCGCCGTTACTTCAGTCACTCGCGATCACTCGAACGAATCGGTTATCCGGCAGCAGGCAAAGGTGTTGTGAGGTGTTTTGTGGTGTTTTGTGTTGTTTCGAGTTGTTTTGAGCTGTTTTGAGCTGTTTTTTGAGAACTCCGCTGGCAGAGGCAAATGCAATTGCAAATGCAAAGTGCATGTGCAGCGGTCAGAATTCGCCATTTGCTGCCATAAGCCAGCTTGTTTGGCACTTATTTTGTTTTGGTTTTGATTTTCGATTTTCGATTTGAGTCTGCGCGACTTCGAGTTCTGTGCGCGTTGCATTTTCAATAAACGCGTTTGCTGTTGGCTTTTTGCACGCTGCGTGGGCGCCAATTCGTGTGGCTGTGTCTCGTGTGTGCATTAGCTAATGTGTTTGTATTGCTAATTAAATCGGCAGCCAAGTAGCAAAGGCAACCGCAAGTGGCAGCAACAAGAACCCCTGACAAAAGCGAAACAAAGTGCATTCGATAAGTACGATAAACGAAATCCATTCCCGATCCAAACCCGATCTGCACACCGAATTCAATTGGATCGACATCAGACAGGTGTTTTCCCCACATTGCCGCATTTCCATGGTGAGTTTTCCACGCGGCCACTATCAATACCATTTGACCAGCGGCCTATTAAGCGCTTTTGTTTGCCCATTAGCCGCGGTCAGCTGTGATAATATTTATTACCAATCGCCCCCAACACTTCACTCCATTTCAATGCAGCGCGGAAGGCGAACGCCACAAAACTAGATCAATTACGCGGAACCATAATGCTGATAAGACTTTGGCGCCCCTCTGAAACATCAGTAATGCACTTTTTCATTGAAACCCTAAACAAAATGTTCTACGCATAAACAAAAGCGATGATCGATTGCTTGTTTTTCAAATTGGAAAATTTAAATCATCTCAAAGAATCAAGAAAGTGTTCTTAATGGCACATAAAAAAACAGTTTAGGAAAAATCTTAAGTATTTTTTTCTTTAAAAAATGTTGTACTATTTTTCTTAAAACTAAGAAGAAATGTAGCATTTTGAATTTAAGTCCTTAAGAAGGAACAACTTTTCTATGATTCATAAATAAAAAATACAGTCTCTGCTAAATTTGTTATATTAAAACCTTAAGTTCCCAATTTTGTTTTTCTATAAGCTTAAAAAATTATATTGTTAATTATAAACTATTCCAAAAATCAACGTTGGATTGTGCTACTAAAGGTCCGTCGGTCAAATAAAACTAGAATTCATATTCATTCGGTTTATTTATCGTTTCTGCACTTTATTATTTAATCATACAAAAAAAACAAAATAAAACATGGGAAATAATAATATTTCCCTTAAGTTAACCCACTTACGAGTAACCTATAGCGAAGCCTATCTGTAATTACAAATACCCCACTTGTATGACGAAAATCGGCGGTAATCGCCAGACAAATAAACAATTAATTAACGCGAGCATAATGCGGCAATAACGACCATCTCCCGACGGAGCTCACCTTGCTGTTTAAATCTGGAAATCTTTAGCTCTTAAATGTGCTCGAATGAGCCGACGGTTTCGTTCGGTTCCACTTGGTTGCTCGGGGGAATTAGAAGCCGTGTTCTGATCTTTGCCGATACGAATCGGATTCGCCTTTTTTTTTTTTATGGGAGCCCAGGGCGTTTGGAAGAACAAGAACAAGTGGGGCGGCTACCTGCCTTTCGGATTCCGAGAAGTGTTTTCGGTCATGATATGCCCAATCCGAATCAAGGCGGTGTCCACCCCTTGAGGCCAAAGAAATCTCCGCCAACTCTTCAAAGCGCGGCGGCTTAATTCAAATTGATTTCATTTTTCGATTCGTTCGCTCTCCCTCTGTTTCTCGGTTTTTTGGCAAACAATTTGAAGTGTCAATTTGTGTTTATAAAACTAAAATTATTTATCAAGCACAGGCCATCGCATGTGGGCAGCGTAAACAGTTAAAAGAAGAAAAAACCAAGCACGCATATATATTTCGTTAATACAGAGGGAGAAATAAAGCTGCTTTTAAACCAAATAAACTTGATATTAATCAAATATTTAACTATATACATTTTTTATCGAAATGACTTGAAAAATTGTTTATATTTTTTCATAATTGGACAAAATTGCGATATCAAGTCTGAAGTGGTCTTATTATTTTGCTGTGCACTCGGATCAGTGTATATGTAGATATATATCGCGAATAGCACTGTTGGCTGGCTGCAAAGTCAATTGCCAAATATGGCGGACTTGTTTGTGTGTGGTTTAATGTCACACTCGAACACACACTAGCACACACACACTCACACACACCGGCGGAGATAAGTGTAACTCTCTGCCTGTCAATAGCTAAACTTTGAAAAAGGAAATTCAACTACTTGTTTCACCAAAAGTCGCTGAAATAGTCACCCAACATTGGCGCTTCGCTAGCTGCCTTTCCTTTGTCTCCGACAATAAATATTGAAATTAGCAAGCGTCCAAATAAATTTATTCTCTAATTGTTATCTAAGCTGCTTGGGGCCCTAAAAGGCATCCCACGTCCCAACCCGATCCGCGGATGAGTGTGCCGAACCACCCAAAACAGATTACAAAAGAGCTCAGCTGGCTTCAGCTGGTCCTCAACTGGAAATTCTCTGTGACTAATTGGCGGGGAGCTTGACTAATTGCATCCGAGTGAGGGATGGGCCATCAGGCAGTTAGTCAATAATTAAGTGTTCTAGTGATCTACAATACAACCTATTTGCGCAGGGAAAATCACTTCTGTTTTTATTGATTTACGATTTTTAATCCATTTCTGATTGTCTCTCTAATCTTAAACTTTCTGATTATATTCCACACTTCTAACGATTCGATAAGGTATTTTTTATTTATGCGAAAAATATTCCAAATAATCATAACCCAAATATTCAGCATTTTATGGTCAACAGCTAATCTTGATAAATTTGATCACTTAATTATATTTGTCTTGCTTTTCACCTCCCTGTCTTACAAATTCTTCCATGCTAATTAGTTTAAATATAACTTTCTTAATGAAATCGATTGAATTCCAACAGATTTTAAATAGCTCATTTATACTTTTATCCTGAAAATAACTACCTTCAAAATGGTAAAGTAAAAAGTTTAAATTAATTAAAATAATGTTTTTAATCAATTATTTTGTACATTTTCAAAAATGGTAAAATGTTTTCATAATGCTTATATGTAGTTTATTTATTTTAAAAAACGGAATCCCATTTGAAAATCTCTACGTGATTATGAAATTAAGTTAATATTTCATTAGTATCCCTAGTGATTTATCAATTTATCTTTCACATTTTTCCAAATTCCGTGGGCTTTTACGGCGAAGGGCATGTAGCACACTAAACCACTTCCAGCTTATGCAATATCGTTTCATTCTTTGCGTCAACGAGCCAAATGGAGAATACTAATAAAAATCGCGGCTCCCTCGCGTAATACGCTGGCCAACCTACGATCGAGCGACAATGTTCTTTGCATTGACGGCAGCTGCTGCCGCTTAGAAACTAACCAAACAGAAACAACAAAAAAGTTAAGCAGAAAAAATATAAAAAAAATATAAACAACAACCACGAAGTGCAGCCAACACCGATGCAGTGGCAGCCGCTTATTTAATATGCAAATGAGCGCATAAAGGCAATTCATTTGCAGGGAGAGCGAAGCCAAGATATTTGCTAAACAATAAGTAAAATGGCTGCGAAATGCGAGAATAATTGTTATTCCGCAGTTGACGGGAGGATGCGCAGTTGTCGCTTGGCAACCGCTTTTTGCAACTTTTTGCACTTTTTTGCGGTGTTTCATTCATATTCATTATAATTTTGTGAGCCAAGTCAACTGCCCACGCAAGCCAATGATTTGATGTGGCAATAAGCGATAATTATGCGAGCACAACGCGGCGTATGAGTAATTTGCGTTCGCAATTAGAAACAGGCGCCGACTTCGTCGACGTGCTGAAATGTTCAAATTGCAAGTATTAATCTCAAAGAATACAACTCTAACACAGACACAAAAGCACTGCAGCCACGAAAAGCCACCAGCAAAGCCACAAAAAGTAATAACAAATGCGGCCAGCAGCCAAGAACAAAAAAACAAAAAAAAGAACAAGCGACGAAGAAAAGAATCCAAGCAACTTGACAAATGCTGTGGGTGTTCGTGTTGTTGTGTGCCCACGTTTAAAATTAATAATAAAGTACACACTCAGTACACACAGTTGGGGCAACGAAAGAGTTGAATATTGAAAAAAGCCCATAAGAATTTTAGTGAAGCTGCTGGTTATTTTATTTCGTGTGCCTGGCATACGAAGCGGCGACAATAAACTTAAATGTGTAATAACTTTTAAGCAGTAGCATAAACAAAAGTCGAGAGCGGGGGTGTTTTGCTCCTCCGGTTAATGTGCTCATCAAATAGCCATAAATCAGCTCATTTAACATTTTTGAAAGAACTGAAAAGTCATTTCCGAATGAAATGGTGTAAGGTGTGGATGTTGTAAATAATAGTTTTTAGGATTTGAAAATACAGGAAGCTGAGAATTAAATGTGAATGGGACGAAGTTTTCCCCTTTGTTAGCTGAAAATTTGAATTAAAAAAGAAATCGCAACAAAGCCAAATTCGCCTTGCTCAGTTAAGTTCCCTATTTGGAAGTTCTCGCCTGGCCATTCAAAAGCAGCGAATAAGAAATCAAAGCCAGCGTGGCGTATGCGTAATGCGAAAGCCCAAAGACTGCAAACTACTGACTACTGACCCATCCAAAGGCAACCCACACACTCTCTGGCAAAATAGCCGAACAAAGGCGGATAGGAAATAACTAACCAGGTCCAACAACAATACTGATTACAAGCGGGCAGCCATCTACTATGCAAGTTGTTGTTGTTTTGTCCATTTAAGCCTTGCCAATTTTGGCAACTTGTCGACCACTTGGCGCTTCAACATCAGCGATCGAGAGATGAGAGCTTCGAGCTGCGAGCTCTCGACCGCCCATGCAATTTGTTTCCCATATTAATTTATCATTTATAAACGATTATTGTTATATAAATTAAATTGCGCGCCCAAAACAAATTAAACTAATAATAGGAAGCGTTTTTCACGCTTCGAACCGCTTAATGCCATTTTGGAGGAGTAGGAATCGTGGGGAACTGTGTAATTATTGACTTAGTCTTTGGCTTTGTGTGGAGCCGACAGCTGCAGATAATTCGTAGAATTTCCGATATGGGAAAGATATAGAGAGACGAGGAGGGTTCAGTTTGGCACTTCCGCCCCCCGATTAGCTGGCCCAGTTTGCTTTTTGGGCCACGCCACTTTCTAGCCATCCATTAGCCGAGTTCGCCAATATCTGCAAAACGGTTTGTAGGGCGGCTTTGTCCGAATTTGGCTGCAGAGTCGATTACCTTGGCCCGACTTGTCAACAGGTGAAATTTTTTATACGCCCGCCTAATTTGTTTTGCCTCGCCGTTTGCCATTTTTTTCTCTCTTTATTTTATCTGTTTTCTGCATAATTTGTCCATAATCACCGATCTCAGAAATTTGCATTCTCTGCGAGGACCGCAATACAGCAAATTCATAAAGCCCGAGACAAATAATGCGTCA